TACCCTATCTGCAGCCAGTTGGCCACTTTTGGACCATGTAATCCCTGGACAATGTGAACACTGGCCAATTCAAGGCACTGGCCAATTCGAGCACTGGACACATTGTGCCCTGGACATTATGAACCCTGGCCTAAATAATACGCACCCTAAGCACATATGGATATCATACCGATAAAGCCAGCTGCAAGCCATTCGTTCGCGCATATGGAATAGGGTATCGCCAAAGAAAATCAACCCGTCTGAACGGCTTTTCACGCGACAACCTGACTCTTCTCCCGTCTTCACAGGCCAAGATGTGGCGGTGTAACTTCCTGGAAACTTCTGCAAAGGAAAACGTCAACGTGAGCCAGCTGTTCCAGGAGCTGCTCAGTCTGGACAAGACGCGCACCATGACCGTGCACCTGGACGGCCGCTCGCGCTCCGCCATGGGGTCCCTGCGGCTGAAGGAGAAGTGCCAGCTGATGTAGCCCGGCGGCCACCCTCGGTCGGCGAGTGTCGGTCGCTGTCACCAACTGTCGAGTGTTCGATGTCGCTACAGACATTGGCCAGGACTGACGCCGACAGACGGGAGCCCAGAGGGAAATGGACCCGCTCGACCTGACCTCTAGCGGTCTGGCTCTCTCTGTTGGTGAACTGTGTAACAGTCAACGCCAGTCTCTCTCGTTGGCTAGTAACTCTGAGCTAAGCAGTTATGCAGAATACAGCAATATAGTGCGGATGCATTGGCGCCCAGTGGCCGTCACAATGCTTTAACGATTTTTAAATTTTGTCGGTGTCTGCTGGAGTGGTGTTTGCAAGTGAGCGCACTTCAGATCTTATTCGTGCCGGACGGCGGGACCAGTCCGGACTCCGGAGTAAGAAAAGATTGGGACTATGCAGCGTGCGGCTTGCCACGTGCGCGTTTTGCTGCGTCCTTAAGTCGAATGGTGTAGGCACGCCTGTCTCGTCTCGTCTCGTCCTCGCTGGTTTTATCTCTTCACCCGAATATATGGCGTCTCGTGGACGGTACAATCCTAGTAAACGACCTTGTGTCTTGTGCTGGAATGACGTACTGTGCAGAAATGTAATGTACCGTATGCAAGTCTACACCTATTGGGTGCCAATCCTCGTCGCATTAGGAGAGGTGCTTTATATGTTGTGCCCGTTGAATTTACTCTTTTCGCGTACTGTTGATAGAGAGAAGTCTCGAGATTAGTGTATCTATTGATAATGTCGTACTGTGCAGTGTAGTTTTGCTTACTTTGTTAGTCTGGCAGTGCATCGAATGCATTGTGTGATAACTATCATGTCAGAATTTTAAGCAAGAAACATGATGCTATTTGTTGAAAAATATATTTACTTCACACAACATTCCTACGAATACAACAGCAAAAAAAGATAAGTGTTAACCAATAATGAGATGCTTCGTACCACCGAGTACTTTTATTAATCTGAAAGGCGAGATTAAGCGGCACTGTAAAGCGTTGAATTATACGGAATTGTCGAATCTCGGTCATGCTGACGAAGTCAGCGCTGACTGATTTTCTCCAGTCACTGACGAACAGTTTGATGATTGATATATCTCATAACATCAGAGTATCCAAAAATTACAACTTGATTGGTATTCCCATAGGCGGCGGAACGGGGAGGGCACCGGGACACCGTGCCCCCCTTTGAGCTATTGCAAAAAAAAAACTTATGTCCCCCCCCCTCAGCCGGCGAGGGCTAAATTAATCATTTTAGTTCAATTTAACCAAACTGAATCATTCGATTCGGCTGATCAAAAGGACACAACGACATTATTTATAAAGCTCTAGCCCCGTTGTGGGCCCAGTTATTATTATAGCAAAAACGTAATTTGACCTCATTTGAACTCAGATGACCCGAGAGAAGTGTTGTTTAAGTAAGAAAACACCAAATTCATCTTGAATAGATCTAAACTGAGGGATTACAACACAAAAATGTTGAAATGGAACATATTTTTACTATTGGAGCTATTCGGACAAATTTTCTTAGAACTTGTCGTGACCCCTAGGGCCTAGGCCCTAGATGACTTCAGATCATCCGAATTTGGAAAACCTGTATGTGGGTTATACTCGAGGGCAGTGCTTTCCGAGGAGCGCTGTGGAGTGTGGCCCGAAGGTTTGGACTTCGAATTGTGAAAAACGCCCGCCCGCCGCAAAACGCAAACACCGCAACTAACGCGCAAAACGCACGCCCGAACCGCCAAGGCAAACGTTGTCGCGAAAAAATAAACAAACGCCCGCCCGCCGCAAAACGCAAATAAAAAAACGCAAAAACGCCGCAAAACAATAAAATCGCACGCCCGCTAACCGCCAACCGAAAACGCTTAAAAATCGCCCGCCCGCCGCCAAAAGCAAACACCGAAAAAAAAAACGAACAACGAAAAAGCGGCCGCCAACCGCAAACAAATTTAACACCACAAACGACGCAAAAAAAAAAGAAAACCGCCCGCATCGTAAGTGGGTTATACAACTCGGTGAGCTTAGTATACCCTGGTTGTTTGCATTAAATCGATGGACAATTCTAGATTCCATAATCCATTGACAAAATAGTGTATTTTCAGTGCCATTTTGACAATGTACCGGTATTTGTGGCCTTGTGACCTGACCTGAGGTCACGGGAACACAAAACTCGCAGGACACGTGTCCAATATCTGCTCCAAGTTGTACCTGAAAATTGGTGGCGCTAAATCCCACGGTTTGTACGCTAGGAACGAAAACTCGATGATTCCGTTACCGCTAAAATAGTCCAACTTAACCCTGACTTTGTACCGGTTTTGGTGACCTGGTGACCTGACCTGAATTGACTGAGACCTGAAATTTTCAGGGAAGGTGACAAAAGGGATGCCTCATTAGGTTATATCAAATTTGTTGGCGCTACGCGCAGCCATTTTTACGCTATTTGCGAAAACCTTAGGGGGTTTGCATGAACCCCCTGGCCCGGTGAGGATAAATTGCTAAGAGGCAAGCAGCCTTTGTGTTGACCTCTGTAGATCACTGATCAAATGACGCGAAAAGTCACTGAATGGCTCTCTCTCTCTCTCTCTCTCTCTCTCTCTCTCTCTCTCTCTCTCTCTCTCTCTCTCTCTCTCTCTCTCTCTCTCTCTCTCTCTCTCTCTCTCTCTCTCTCTCTCTTGCGTAAACCGCGCGCCGACGAGGTTTTCGGGGGAGGATTTTCGGATATAGCGGGAAAACCACGGCATGTGGCACCATTGTGGCACCACGGAATTTTGCATGCTAGCTTCCTCATCAGTTTCACATATTGGGTGCAAGCAAAGATCTCCCACTTTCTAGGGTTAGCTCCCCAGATCACTGTGACTGACCCGATCTTAACGCATCCTCTTACACCCTTGTCACCGTGTCAGAATAAACAGCCTTGTCTCGGTCATGCAGTCAATGACCGAGCCTTTTGAAAATTGCAGGATGTAATCAGGTCATAGACACCTACACTTTTAAAGTCTCGGATTGTTTTTATTGATGAACTTAGACTAGACTAGTTCAATGTCTTGACCTCTCCATTATAACTCGTAGATATGGGGGGAGGGGGGGAGTCACACGCCTAATTTTTCACAAATACGCGTCGTAATGGCCAATTTTGTCATGAATGACACCATTTATGAGTCATGACCGACTGACTAGATCCACTGTTTGCTATATTTGACATCTGTAACGTCATGTGACGTCAGCAAAGGCCACCAAAAAGCCTTTTTGCTAGCAACTTCTCAAAGACAAGAGAATGGCGTACGGTCTCAACTCTCATTGTGATCAGCTTTCCAAGCGCATCGAATGATATGCATTTTACCAGCCACACTTGACCTTCACCTGCCCAGAGGCCAAGTTTTCACCTTAACCTTTCGAGGTCAAAATGTACATATTCGATGTGCATAGACGAGTGGATCCGAATGGTGCTAATATGTTGTTCGAGATTTATTACATAGTTAGATAAAAGTTAATAACGGAAAGCTCTCTTGTCCTCCCAAGTCGCCATTTTGGCTATGTTAACCCCCGTGACGTCATTTTTGACCTGACCTGAAAATTACATTAGTAAAGATCGTAGCCCTTGTTCGCTTGTATTCAATGCCTTTTACTGCTAACCGTTTAGTTTTACCGTTTGTCTCGTACCTATCGTTTGCGAGGTCGTTCGAGGTTAGAGTCTGTGCCGTGGCACAATTGGCAGAGCGTTGACTCCTGGTTTTGAGAGATCGGGCTCGAGCCGTCCCGTGGCTCGACATTATGCAATGAGTTAGGATTTAAGGCACACGCCTTAGAAGCTGCAGAAATTTAGCGATCTGGGCCTCGTCTCATAAAGCGAGTCCGTTACACACGCCGTTTTTTGGGCTTGTATTGCAAGCGCATGTGAAGCGATAAATTTATTTCCCCTTCTCCTTTCTGTTCTTGCTTGCAAGATGAATAAATTCAACGATTCAAACTATCGTCATCGCTTCACATGCGCTTGCAATACAAGACCAAAACCGCCGTAAGGTACGTACGGACTCGCTCTATGAAATTAGGCCCTGCAATGATAATAAGCGGCATTGCAAATGACGATGTAGTTTTCTTATTTGATAAAGAGCAACTATTAGCTGCTTCCACAGAGCACCACACTTTTTATGTAGTTTCGTGAGAAGTGAACTGAAAACGTGCTCAAGCCTCAAAGTCAAAAGTATCGAAGCTTTGTGCTAATGGTAAGGTACTGAGAAAAAAAGGTTGGTAATATAGTGCCCTCTTTCTGCCTATGGTCTACCTTTAGTCATCAGCACTTTTTGCAGGTTCGTCATCATCGCCATGAATACATGTAATATAATCAAGGGATGTCACAATTTTAGCCGCATCCATCGGCTGTCCACGTCTTACCTACCTACCTCTTACCTACCTAGCTCTTACCTACCTAGCTCAGCTCCGTGCTGTGCGCTGATTGGCTGTGACGGCGAACCTCTCGACGCTGATTGGTGGGCGGGTTTCTGAGCGGGCGAGAGACAGAAAGCGCGGCAGGGCCGGAGACGGTTCAGACTCGACGGAGAAGGCGGAACTGGCGGGGGAAAGTCACCTCTCTGCAAGAACACCAGGTCAGTGTGATGCATTATGGCTGTCTTTATAGGGTAATGATGTTATCCAAGGTGCTTGCAGGGACGTCAGGTACATTGCTGCATGTTTTTTTATCATTATGTGCCGTCATCTTTTGATATATGTGTTCGTCGACTTTGCACTTGTGCCTATAACCTATATCAAAGCAGTTGACGGGGTAGGCTGATGTTGAAGACGCAAAGCCACAAAAATGTGTCGAAGATCTAACATTTACATGCATTAGACGTTTAATATCTCGTTCGCAGCTTGTGCATATTATAACGTGCTTGACTTGCTTTTTCATTCATTTCTCGTGAAGTTGAAAAGGTGACACTATAGGCACGCTATGGGTAGTGGTCATTCACATAAAAAGACACAAGTTATCGGCAAATTCAGATACGTGTACACAAAACTTATTCCAATACTTAAAATGTCCATTACATGATTGTGTGCACGTTGAACGATGACAGGAATAGCCTTCAGTACCTACTTAATTAAATGAGAAGTTTTTCCAGGCCAATAGACGTTCAACTATGACACTGTAGTTAATAACTCTGAGTTTTAGTTAACATTGAGATCAATCGGGGACAAAAACGAAAATTTTAGAGAAGAAGGAAGGAAGCGGAAAACCAAAAGCATCATCTGTTGTCTGCATATAAGGGTAGCCCTCTCAGGGTGGCCGGTTTGTTGCGTTCAGTGATTAGAATTTAGCCGCCAAGCAATATATTTTATGGTCAATAGGTCAGCTATTTCTATAATTCTTTATCTTAATTTCGCCTTCATCGATGACAGTCCATGACAGTGGTCGCCAGCTTTGTAGCTGTCTCAGCTCCATGCGTCTGATTATTTTCCCTCGTTCTCAAGTGATGCTACTGTGGTTGGCGGTAAATGACATCATACTCCGAAAGATTCTCCAGCGAAGGAAATAATTCGGGAAATAATTTCTGCTAGATGCCAAGTGCCATATCTTCAGAAACAATGATACCTACAACGTGTGCATGCTTACAACTGATGCGATGGTAGACTGTGCCGCATTACACATCTGTACCGCGGCGCAGCTTTCCTACATTGGCCCTTTCGTATCTATACGCAGATACAAAAATCCAAATGTCCGCCGTTTATCCGTGAAAAACACACATGTTCCATCATTAATTAGCTGGTTATTAGTACGCATAAGTGGAGTACCTTCCCCGGGGCCTGGGAACCGCGGCTGAAGGTGCTATTTGATAGCTGAATGCCGTTTTGTGCCGAGTCACTGTCACGAAACGAAAATATGGCTCTATGCATACGGCTCAATACTATTCGTAATTGTTCGTATGTATGACTGAGGCAACTTATGATGCTAGTCTGATTGTTAGCGGGACACATATTCATGTGTCCGAAATAAGGATGTCGCATGATAGATTGGTTGATACTATGTGTCTGTTGTTGAATAAATGACTATCGTGACTCGAATGTCTTTGACAAGTTATCGACAGCCCATGATGGCGAGGTACCTATATGTATGTCGTTGTTCCTCCCTCCGGCATTGTTCTCGCATGTGTTTGTTACAACTTACAGGTGAATATGCATGGCACCTTTTGATATTAAACTTTTGCTAGGCTTATGCCGGCTTTACACTTGTTAATGTAAATTATTACACTTCTTGTTATTACACTTGTTAATGTTTTTCAGATTTTCATTCACAGTAAAAAAAAGTCTTCAACCCAAGTGTCAAGCATTTTCTGTAATATAGGTAGAAGTACTACACGTACTTTATTACAAAATATATATCTTGAATTATTTTATCGGAGAACACTAACACAAAATGTCTAATAGATAGTCCTCAGCATACTTTGTTCAAATTGTCAGGGAACTCAGATTTGTTTTTCAATAGAAAAACACAATTCTAACGAATAGTGTTTTAACTACATGTTATTTTTAACTATGCTATGCTGACAACAAACCGTCGGTTATTGAGAACGGTCATGACTTCCTATCGCTCATAACCTATACTTTTAAGCAGTTAACACACAGAGCAATAACAACTGTTCCCATCCCTCATCTCGGCGTAACTCCATGGTTCGCCGGTAGACGACTGCGATGGTCCGATCGCCCTGTCTCCGTGTTCTTCTGGGGCTGCTGATGCTGCTGACGCTCGCCAGTCGGAGCTCTGCCTTCCCCGGCTTCTATACCATTCCAGACGAGGACGGCGCTTCCAAACGAGGTAACCTGAACAGATCGCTGTCACATGACTGGCTGGGGCCGTAAAGTCGAACAGGGAGTGGCAGAAACGCTCGGATGCTGGCATGTTCCGCAATACACAGGTGCTTTGCGGGACAGCATACCACTCACATGGCGCGCGCTTACAGTGCCGACTATACAAGTGGTGAGGACAAGCATCGCAATATTCATACCCGTTCTATCATTTCCATCCTCAGGACAGACACATCCTTCTCCTCCACGCCGAAACCCCCAAACCGGGCTGGACAGGCAGCTTCATCCCATGCGGGCGGCTCCCAGGCCCATTGGAGCGCACCGCAGCTCCTAAGGGAGCACACCCGTAGCCCGGTGCAGTGAGTGCTTTGGGGGCTGGTCGGCTTGTCCAATAGGACGGGCTCAGCCCCGGCGACTCACTAGGGTGCCTGCCCAGACCAATGTCTTCCCCTAATTTACATCATCCTCCCGGCTCTGCAATGGTCGCATTGGACTGAAAGGGCTTAACCCAGCAATGCAAATAAAGCATCGCAATAGAATGAAGCAATAAGGTGTTTTGTAGCTTTATCTCACGTAACTGTCATTCATGACCAAAATTTAAGATGACTTTTGGCTAGGTATTGAAGTGCGTGTTTTTGCTGTCATAAACGAAAAAAGCATAAGGTGAGAAGCTCCCGTGACTGAAATACGCACAACACGTTCATCCGCTGCTTACTACTGTCACATGCCCAATTGGGGACCTCCTTTCACCAGCTCATGCAAACAAAGCTGTTGTAAAAGCTGGTCGAACACTACAAACAGTGGGCACAAAAGGCTGGTGCCGACTGTCAGCCTAACAAACACTAGCAACTGTTCCGGCATTGGGAAAAATACGTCGCTGGTCGATATCGAGCTATAGGCTACATGTGATACCGTTTCGTCTCCATACAGTCAACGCTATGGCAACGCTTTAATCACACGTGTACTTACTTTTAGATATCAAATCCGAAACTGTTTTCACAAAAATCGTGTGATAAAGCTCCGAATTATAACATGGGCTATCTCCTCTTCCTTTGCATGAGCTCATCGTGTGCCTGTTTGTTCTGATTTGGCAGATGTCCTTTCTATGGAGACCAAGTCAGACAGATTCTTCTTGGGGCCCAGATTCGGTAAAAGGAGTCAAGAAAGGCCAACAGATAGCGATAAAGGTGAGTGTCTGGCCATCATTTCTAGGAAGACAAAAAAAGAGTTTAGAGACACTTTATAGCGATACTTTAAAGTAAAAACTGAGGGCAAGGTACTGAATCAGGGACTCGTGAGCTAGGCCGAGGGTGAACGATGGGGACTCTTTGCCACCCTCAAATCTGTGTTTGTCAATAAAGCCGGCTTTTAAATCGCTCCGTATTCTTCATGCATGATTCAAAGTGTGTGATAGCATGTAAGAACTAAAACCTGACCTCATTTTATGCAGGCACGATGATTAAAAGGCAAAATGTTTCATCAGTTGTCTACTTTTCAGCTGTATCCGGGCCATCAGAAGGGATGACCGTTGAGCTGAGCGACGGCCTCTCGTTCACCTGTGTTGCCATCGACCCGGGAAACGTGTACAGATGCCACCGGTCAGGCGGATCGCGCTAAATCCGCCAGGTCAGTCGGTTCGCGCTGGCATCGCGAGGTCCGTCGGATCTTCTGATTACCACCATGTCCCCACCAATTGTCGATTTGTTAGTTCAGACTACACAGTGCACATGTTTAAAACCAAAACGTTAACTTGTTTTGCGAAAAAAAGGATAATTATTATTCCAGCCATAAATGTATTTCATTTTAGTAAACTGAAACATTCCATGAGGAAGCATGAAAAGGAAACTGATTCAAAATAACGGATAGGTCAAGACAATTATAGCGTCATTTTCTTTTTTAGCTTTTCAGGAGCCGTCATTGAAATTTAGTGTTATTTCGTTTCTTTGTTTTAGGGCCCGTCAGCCGTTGGCCGTTCAAGGGAGGCGAAGAAGAGCTGCAGAAGTGATGCAGGAAATCAGAGCCGGCCGGTCACGCCGTACTTACACCATCAACGTGACAGTGCCGCCGTGACGACAACGTAACGACGCCAACTCAGTGTCATTTTGTGATATCCCCGTGACGCCGCCGTGATACTACCGTGACGCTGCCGTGATACCACCATGACGCTGCCGTGATATCCCCGTGACGTCACCGTGATATCCCCGTACCGGCTGTCGCGATATATCCGTGACTCTGTCGTGATATCACCGTGAATCTACCGTGGTATTCCCGTGACGCTGCCGTCGGTGGGCTGCCACAGACAGGTGACGGTCACACCGAGTCTCCGGCAGCCTGTCACCGACCCCGGCACGACGTTCATATTCAGAGGCCCTTGTCTATTTCTGTGCCGACGGCTCGACGGTCTGGTGCAAACAATACACTCGTACCAGAAGCCAATTTGTCGCGCAGGCTTACGATAGCTCCGGGAATAATGCAGAGATGGAGTCAGAAACTGGGTAACTTTTCTCACGACGCATGCATAGGAAACAGGACAACATCGCAGGTGCTTTGAGGAGTACACAAGAGACGAGAGACTAATGCAAAAGAACAAGGTGTGTGTCGACAGAGCAGAGCTGACAGAGCGACATTTGCTGAGCTGTGGCTGAGACCACGAGAGGAACGAGCTTAAAGCAACGCGCCCCAATCAGTTTTTCGTGAACGGCACCGAACTGTTTCCCGATGAACCATCCTTGGCCGAGTGCTTTCTCGGCTTCTCGATGACACTTTAAACGACAATGACGAGGTTTATTTTTCATTGAGCGTCTTTTTATTTGACAGGTTACTGACAACGTACACCAATAACGCGCTTAATCCGCAAAAAAGACAAGTATCAGGTATCGAACTTTGTCACTTTGCCAGAGCCATTGCAATGGGACGAGAAGGAGCTGGAAGATGTCTCTTGCCCATTAGCTGCTGGCACAAAAAGGAACTGAAAGAGAGCAGTGTGTCGCTTGTGTTAAAAGGACCCTCCCACCTTCAAGAAAAGCTAATGAATTGACATAAAAGCGATGTCCCGTGGTTCAGAAAGATAACAAATGAATATCTTCCTTATACCTACCAAATTTCACCGAAAAATATTTACTAGTTTCCAAGATATTAGACTTTTACTTTTGTTTACTTTTTGGGATCGTCGCTGTTCCCGTCATTTGAAAGCAATACTTTTTTGACATCATAAAAGTGCGGCAGATGTTGCGCGCAAGACGGTATATAATATATCACCACGTTTTAACGATGGTTTTAGTTTGAGATTTATAAATCGTTAGACCAGAGACCTCCGCTGACGTCGCCAATAGCAAGGGTGCATTAAAATGCATTAGCTTCTTAGAATCTGAAAACTGCAAGTTTGAAATTAAATATCTACACATGAAAGCAATGCTCGATGTTGTTAGTGCCCAAATCGGTAAGCGCAAGCTAGGGACCCCAATTTGGCTATCTCAACTCAAAACTAATGTTAAGGTGGGATGGCTACTTTAATGAACTTGCTATCGTAACGCAATATCTCAGCTCAAATGTTAACAGAGAGTTTGGAAAAGAGCATGTCGATCACATCCCTAAGCAAGGTACCGCCCATATCATTTACCCGTTACTCATTTTTGGGGCACTTTTTTTGCTAAATATTGTTTCTGGTGACTAGAACCTAAAATCAGTCTATGAATGCACCAGCTCCTTGATTTTAGAAGGTCATCCAAGATATGACGTGTAACAGAAAGTGAAAAGCAAAAGACGAAATGAGGAGCCAAAAAAGCTTTGACCCACAAACCCATTCTGACTGCTTCTGTGTGGCATGGTCAAATTGTGAACTGTAGCCCGACGCAATTATGGATTAATCACGCTTATCACCAGCCCAGCTCAGCAGAGATTAGGAACGGATCTGGAGCTTTGTGGATTACAAAACGAGATGGCTTACGAAACTCGTAGAATCGATATCAAATAAATTAGTTCAATAAAACACAATACTTTTATGCCACACCGTGAAAGGAACTTTCAAATTAGTTATAAATTTATATTGAAATTAAATAGTTCCATCAAATAACCATTACTTTCGCTTCAATTCCCTTTTTGGTTATACGTATTTTTTTTATAAATTTAGTCCGAATCTTTTGATGGGAAGGATTCACAAGGACAGAGCCACCGCTAAGCGAAGCTTGTTGCGATGACCCTGCCCTCTACCCTCCGATCGCGCAATTCCGATTCTATGGCAGAATTTAGAGTCCAAAGTTTAACGTGCGCACAAAGCCGCGCACGGCCGGTCCCCTCGCTGACTTCGCCTGGCTACGGCCTGCCACCAACCGCAACCATACCTGTCAGGAGGCCCATAAATGTCGAGCGCCCGTCGCGCTTCGAACCCGGACTGTCATAACCGGGAACGCGTGCTCTCACCACGCGGAGTCCAACGCTCTAACCAACTGAGCTACGGGACCGGCTGTGTGCGTGCGGTTCATGACGTGCCAGAGCCACCGCCGCGTCGGCACTCGGCCATAGTCTGCCGTCGTCCGTCGTCTCGGCCGGCCGAGCAATATGATACGGTAGGATCTTGTGCGCCGCAGGGTGGTCTTTGTCTGGTACTGGTGAACGAGTAGATAGGGGATCAGGCGGAAGCAGAACCACTGGTCAGGAAGGCGTGAAACACTTCGATCATCAGGAACAATGTTGGTAGGGAGTGGAGTGGTTTGGATTGTCACATAGCACACCCTGGAACGTAGGATCTTCTCCCGCGATATCCAGCATTTGCATAAACAGAAAACTAACCGAAGGTAGTCACATCTCCCAACCCGTGACTATAGATCACAGTCGCTGGAATATGAACGTCTCATCAGTTCTCAAATGGGTCCGCAGTTCGATCCCAGGTTTCCCTTGGGGAGCTGACAACGGCGCCAGAAACGAAAGCCATCTTCTGGTCTGTGCATAGCAATCAGTTTGTATTATATGACTAGATCGGCACGACAGCTGAAGGTGTGTATTCATGGATCGAAGCGTTATACACCACACACGTCAGCTGCATATCACGACAGAAAGTAACGCTCGCTCGGCTCCGCCGGCCCTTCCAACGACGCGAAACAGGTGAGGTCCGCTCCTTTCCAACAGACGAGCGCGTCTCGCGCTCCGTATCGTACATATAGCAATGAGTGCACTTTCACGCTGCCCTGCACTTTCACAACATGTCCCTGGGCTCCATACTCGTACTGTGTAGACCGTAGTTAACGTTTACTGTGGTCTGCTTCTGAGGGTGTCGTACCCTGAAAGCATCCAGCCGTTTATCATTGGACACGGTCCCGTTCTAGCTAAGCTCACTGCGCATTTGCTAACGCACTGTAACCGCACTCGTTCTCTTCGGTCAGGAGAGCATGAGAGAGAGCCTCGGCTCTGTTCAAACGTGCTTGTTCCCGGCGGTGTTGGTACCCATACCGGACAAATGGATGGTCGAGGGAAGCAGCTCAGACCAGTAGTTGAGTCGGTTTCAGGGCACACAGACAGTTCGCCTGGTTCAGATAAGGCCGATAACCACTCCGGGGCGTAAAGCGTGCTGGGTAATCTGAAACAGTTCAAACGGTCTTGTTAATGGTCTGTGAAGGGCATACTGTGCTGATGCTTGTTGATATTTATGTGAATGAAGAGGAGACAAAAGTGCGTGGGTTTCTGTGAAACTATGAATAATCAGTATGCATCTGCTTGCAAGTTGTAACTTGTAAGAGATACATACAAGAGGCAAATCGAAGCTCGACGGTATCTTCGCAAGACATAATTACACATACAATACAATTATGTACAGTACAGAGAAAGAGTCCGGATGTGTTTAACAAGTATCTATGAAGTGGGTCACTGAGCCTATCTGACTGCACTATTGCCATTCATAACGTTATTTATAACAAGGCATAAGTTATACCAAATTCGGCAAGAATAACGGAGACAACTTTGGCTTCGATCGGAAACACCATCTGCAGCTCTACCGGACTAGAAGTTACGGCCAGCGGAGGCTAGCCCCGGGGCCTCGATCTTTGAGTACCAACAAACATAGGTAGTTCAAACATCAATACAAACTCTTGTGGCCGCGCTGCTGTACTGTACCCACCGGAGGCAATAGGTCAGTGGCGATGCCCGTTGGTGAGATGAGCCGTAGCCGGGTCAGAGAGGGCCGCCGGGCCCGGCGCCGGTGCCTCGCCCTCGGCCACCGCCAGCTGTTCAATCTCGCCCTGGAACGGGTTGAGCAGATCAAGGCCTCGCGCGGCGCCGGGCAGCGCCGCCGAGCCGGCGGCCTGCGCCGGGCCGCCGCCCACAGTGATCTGACCCAGCCGACCGCTGCGGTAGTCCTCCAGAGCCTGCAGCAAATCGGGGACGGAGGGAAACGGTCAGGGCGCATGAATGTGATGAATGAGAACTTAACGGTGAATGGCACGGCGAATGAGAATTGAGAACTTAAGCTCAATTGCCAAGCGCAACCGATGTGTGTCGTTATCTCTGAACGAAGTTTCTTCTCTATGCGATTTGATCTCATCGGGCATAAACAAAACGTTGGCACTTCGTCAATCTCATTAAAGGAAAAGGGCCACCTTTAACATGGGGATTGAAACTGAGATAGCCATCTTGTAGCCCGTGTCCGAAAACCTATCTGTCTACCTCCTTACGGCCGATTTCGGCCTCCATTCGTAGTTATCGGCAATTTTAAAAGAAAATACGCCAGGAATGCGTCCTTATCCCAGGAATGCGTTCTTATCCGACAATACAGCCACCCGCGGCGAGGCTTTGGTTTTTTACCAATCAGCTCCAACCAGCTCAGCTTTAACCAATCAGCTTATCTGACACAATCCGACGAGTCTGTCTTCTGAACGCTGATTGGCTTGAGTGTGACGTCATCGCTATGCCATCATACAGTAGGTGCCGTAGAGAGTATCAACATAGTACCAATATGTTAAATAGTTTTAAATACTTTTTCGCGAATTGTGCACTTCTGGCACCAGTTTTAAAAAGAAAATGAAAAATAATAATGTCAAAATGAAAAACAACGATATCTTCATATTTCACGAAGGTGGCCCTTTTCCTTTAATTCACGAGTTACGAATGCCTTGGTATCGACTTACCTGCTCAATTTCAGATACGGAGCTCATGACAAATGTACCGAACTTGAAGACTGATTCCTTCAAAGGTACCCCAGAACCGATGAGAAGCCGCATTTCTGAAATTAGAGGGTCGCTGTTAATATTAAGCTATAAATCATTCCGTATGCTTTAAGTTACAGTAGGCTACATTATAACGATACAACTTTGCTTGTCGTGCAGTGCAGCGGGCGGCTTCGGCTGGCATAAGACAAAAAAGAGGACTAGGCTATAAAAAATGATGTACCGCACGTCATGGCTCCATCATACGATCTTGTGTGTTCGTTCTTTCCTGTTCCCTCGAACTATTTTATTCTCCCCATCGATCCCACCCTCCTACTTTCCACAGTCCTTATTTCTTGTCTATTCTCTCTTACAGATCTTCTTCCCCAATCGTATCCCGCCCCACTGACCCTGATCGCGGTCGGCCTCGGCGCGGAAGGCGTGTCCCTCGTCGCTGAGTCGCGCCACGTGTCCGGCGGTGACGGGTCGCTGCTCGGCGTGCCCCAGCTGTCCGGCGCCCCGCCACACGTACAGCCAGCACGTGTGGCCGGCGGCCAGCTCCAGGCTGAACGCGCCGCCGGCCGACACCCGCACGTCCAGCAGCGTCACCGGGGTGTGCGTCCGGATCGGCGAGCGCAGCTCTGCAGGGCGGAGCGGTGGCGTCAGACGTGAATCAAGGCGGTAGGGTGGTCGCAGGGCGTTAGGTAACGTCTGAGCGCCCGCGGGGAGTGGTAGGAGCTAGTCTCAGACTCACGGATGCGTTACATCAGCACTGCGTGGGCAGTCTGGCGCAGTTCCGTGTTCCCACACTGGCGGAGCGCTGTACCCCGGCGGCGGCGGTGGGCTCCGGCCGGCAGGTCAGACCGGGTCGGGTTCCCGCTGCCGTTCCCAGTCGACCCCGACGGCAGTTTTCGGAGCAGTTAATGCTAATGAGCGTAGACGGGCAGAGGAAACAGAACACCCGAGGCGCCGGAAGGGACGGAGACCTGCCCCTAACGAGACGCAGTGCAGCTGCTTTGATGCGTGCCTGCGGCTAAAACGTCCACAATAGTCGACAGGTATGTGTAAAAAATGAGCCTTATTGCTAATTGCGTACCTGGTATTTTAGTGTATCTTATTTCAGTTACGAGGAACGTCGCAGTCAGCTGATCTTATATAAGAGGTGAGGCCCTCTAATGAAAATATAACTACAAAACCATATAATATTGACACACTCATAAATAAACTGGGGTTTCCTACGGTTTTACCTGAGAACACATCATTAAATATGTTTAATAGATTACATATTGCTTCCCTTCCCCCAATAATAACTGCGATAATACACAAATATCTATCCATATTACCGGTTGAGACATGTGAAAACAAAATATTGTCTCTTATCGCCGCTCATCACTTATCACGTTGATCCGACTGCAAGCATGCGCCCACCTTTGTACTGTCCGACGAGCACTTTGACGGCAAACCGATGCTGCTCATCTATGTGCTCTGGCACGTCTTCGGGACGAACCTCTTGCATCTCGGGGCACATCATCTTGTCCTGAAAAACAGCGTGGTTGATCAGCTCGACTCATTACGCCAGTTATGGTTCTTAATCATTGTAAGGTAGCATGCACTGACCGTCGAGCCATAAGCGTAATACGAGTAAACGGCCTGTAAAATGGATAAAAAGGTGAATATCACGTAACTCCCTGGAAGTAAAATAAAGCCACTGAACAGTGTTCACAGAAATAAATCGGCGCAATACATATAGCTTAAGAAATTTACCTGAGCAGCTATATGGGCTCCCTTATCCCGCGAGTTGCTGGGGGGGGGGGGGGGCGTTAAACGCCCCCACTTTTTTCGCCGGGCCATAGCATAAAAACGGCGCGCCGTAAGCGCGCCAAATTTTGGGTACCTGTAGGGAATTGATTGAAGTTTATTGTGACAAAGTTTCAAAAAAAAATCGGTCGGAAAATTTTTGAGATATCGAGGTTTTAGTGACGTCATGATTTCTGAATTTTCGACCAAAAACGGCATATGTTCTAAGAATCATATAAAATCACAGGATAGACATACAGACATGCCGTAAAGGCAATTAGACTACAAATACCATGAACAATCAAATGGCTATCTTCGATTATTGATTATCGTTCCGCATTTTCCAAAATCTTGAACTGAATCTGGGCAATTTCTCGTTACTACTTCACGACCATGGTACGTGCATTTCTTAAATTGAACTTTTTGAGCCAAACACGTACACATATGATAAAATGAATTTCACCATCGTGTTCTACGCCTAAAATTACCCATAAAACATGTGTCACAGGCTGCGAATATCAGTTTCGATTTTCGGGATATGTGCTTACCCGGTTGACCTGACCTTGACCCTGACCTATGCTTGACTGACCCCTACATGGAGCTGACACTCTTGTAGGCCTTATATGATGGATTGTGCACCGTTTTGACAGAGTTTATGACGAGAGGCGCCCATTGCGAAGTCCTGAAGTCCATGCGACTGAAAGCTCGACTTCAGGTGTTTGACCTGACCTTGACCCGACCTGTGACCTCAAAATTCAATTTTAAAGTACTCATCTGAAGCGTCTCGTTGCGTTCTTTTGTTTGCCGCCTCGTGCGTTTCGCTGCGCGTATCGGTTCTCGAGTTATCGGCTGGGGGCGTTTAACGCCCCCCCCCCCCAGCAAACGGTGGGTGGCGGAATACCCCAGCAACTGCCGGGTTATAGCGTACCTTGGCTGGAAGGTTGACCCAGAGCTGGAAGCCCTCCCAGGTGCCCCCGTTGGCCAGGAGGCTGTCGTTGGGCAGTTCTCTGTGCACCAGCCCTCGCCCGGTGGTGAGCCACTGCACGCTGCCCGCCAGGAGCTCACCTAGACATGCGAGTGTCGTTAGAGTCTGGAAGTTCGGAATGCAGACAGATACACCTTTTTACGGCCAAATATATAGTGCAGTGCAACCGATTTCGTCAGTTCGCCATAGACAGACCGTGCCGTACTGACGAAATTGCCTACACTGTTACTGAAATATGTGCACTGCCGCCTAAATTGGGCGTAAAAAGTGTAGTACCTACACACTATACAGTAACACAGCAGCTCGGTATACATTTTGATGCAGACTTTGGTATGCGTAACATTTTACCGTCTATCGTGTAAGTAACGATCGCTACTTCAGCTAAACCGGGATGAAATAGCCATTTTAGACGGTAACTTATAACGCATCGGCCCGCTGCGATGTCGCTAAAGCAGTTCTAGCTGATTTGTTGACTGACTGCGTTGTCCGTCAAAGAAGGGATGAAGTCTGCTTCAAACGTTAGACGTTTTTGATAAAGAGACAAGCGGCCTGTTGCATGTATTACATTTTAGAGAGCTGATGACTGATGAGGCTCCAGTCGGTAGATCGGTCTGTTAAAAGGTGGTCACGCATGCGATACGATTATCTCACAGAAAGTGGCCTGGTTTTCGGCGGAAATAAGCGTTTTCCGGCGGAAGGGGTGGGGAGGGGCAGCTGATATTACGGACGGAAACAGTCCACCATCGCTAACAAGCAGCGTCCGGGAGCGGGTCACTATCTCGTCCAGCGCCGGTCCGGCTGACAGGACAGCCCCCGGTCGGCGCTGACAGGCCCTGTGGCAGGCCGTGACGCACATAGCTGTCGGCTGCACGTGACGTCACAAAGAAACGGCACAACACAACTCCCCTGTCACTTGTCAGGGCCTCATGGTGTTTAAGGGTCGCGCTGCAGTGAGTGCAAACGGTTTTTTTCACATACCTAATTGTAGACGTTTGACAAGTTGTGGTATCAAAATGATTCATGGAATAGACTATTGTAGAATAGAATAGACTATTGTACCGCTTCTAGGATATCGCAGTACACTTCGTTGTGGGACGCTTGCAGCTCTAAAGTTACACGCCTATGGAATGAACGTAACAATACATTCGCAGCACTTTTTACTCCAAAACCAGCGCAATAACAATGAAAACTAAATAAGTTCAAAAATAAGACATAGATAGGTATCGCTGCATCGAGCCTGCATGGGCTTCCGACCCTGCTCCTCACCGTTGTGTCCCAGTGAATCCTGGTGGCGCATGCCGCCCTCCACCACATAGGTGACCACTACGAGACCCCGGTGAGGGTGGTCGGGCACTCCGAGCGCCTCTCCGGCTCCGTATCGGATCGGACCCACATGGTCGGCCAGGATGAACGGGTCACACGCGCTCAGCTGCTGGCTGCCGATTATCTTCCTGAGGGAGCGAGGAGAACGGGGTGTTACCGGCACCGTGGATGGAATAGAAAATGTTGCATCTGATGTCATTTTATTTCAATGTCAGCCCTATCACTCAGTCGCGTCCCAAAAGTGAAACGGTTCCATGGGCAGCAGCGCGCCCGCCGCTATCGAGCATGCACTCGATGCCGGCTTTACGCCGTTTCAAGTTGCGTGACACAGCTAAGACGTCGGGCAACTGATTCTCTATGTATGGGCAACTGACATCTCCTAACGGTGAAGTGGCAATGCCAGTCCCAGTTTCAGTCTGACAGCCAGGCGGCAACATCCCTCGGCCGGTGAGCCGCCCACCGGTCCATACCACCCACCTGGTCAGGAAGAGGCCGTGCTCCATGGTCTGGCGCGGAGCCAGACACTCGTCCAGCGTCTTGTGGATGACCCGGGTCGGCATGGCGGCTAGCACGGGCCCCGGGGCGACGAACACAGACTCCGGTCAGCGCTCGGTCTCAGGGCGGTTCATGAGCGATACCGTCGTTCACCGCCACGAGCACGGCACGGTCCCGCCGTCGGCGCCATGTTGATATCGATTTAGACGGCCGTCGGCGGTCAGTTGCCGTGGGCTTCCGCCAGAGGCGCTGTGGTGCCGCTGCTCACTCCTGAGTGAGATGGGGGGAGGGGAGGGACGGGGGGCGCCACCGACGGTGGTAGACCGTCGTCTACATTTCGTTTTGAAGACAGGTCGAAGTTCAGTAGGTGGATGATGACAGGATCGAAGCGGGAACTAGGCTGAATTTGGAGGTTCATGGCTCATAGCATAACATCGCGAAGGAGATTTACCGGACGGAGTGTAACGGTATTGTGTTGAAAATATGCTTTCTCGGTCATAAGATAGAATAAATCATTAATTATGAGTTGCAAGCTAACACTAAACAGAATAGGTACGCATAATATCAACATAGATTTCGCATGAGTTCAATGCTTGGCTATTTTGGTAATGTAAATGTCGAATCACCTGTTCACTGATCATCCTATTTCATCAGCTCAACATTGCACTAGCCGTCCCCATTCAAATATAAATGTATACCTACTTTACTTACCTTTCACGGCTCAATGAGATCAGTATTTGTAACTGCGCTCAGCTTCACTGCGTACTTCAGCCATGCGGCACAGTCTACGTTCAGGCGCTCCACCGATTCACGTCTTGCGGCACAGTCTACGTCTTCAGGCGCTTATTACTAGTGACATCTAGCGTCAGGAAAGAAAGCAGCTGAGCTGGCTCCATCGGCGCACACATTAGGAGGCCATCGTCTATACTAAATGCATTACACAATTATTCAAAATTGCAGACCGTGGTGTTATATAATACTGAACGAGGCCGGTGTAAATAAATTTTCAAGACCGAGGTCCTTACTGGATTTTTGAACGAGGCCGAAGGCCGAGTTCAAAAATCAGTAAGGACTGAGGTCTTGAAAATTTATCACCGGCCGAGTTTGGTATGCATTTTACTGTATGCCAACGATAAATTTATTTTCTGGACCGAAGCTCTTAGCCGACTTAGGAACGAGACCATCCCAAAATGTTGGCTTAAGTGCATTCTGGTAATGCATTTTTGACCGTGGTCAATTTGCTTACACCAGTTATTACCACACCCCTCTGGCTAATGTATTTGAATAGGCCAGGCATACAGTAAAAGCAGTCTGCTCATGCTTTTAGGTTTGACGTAACTATTCAGTGGCGTTCGACTTCTATACTCCGGGCTCAACCTCGGACCAATGTCGGGATGGCCTAGGCATTCCGTGCAGAGTGGTGGCATGGGTGTATAATGGGATCCTAGTCAACTAGATTTTCGATAGTCTGTTGCAGAATGGTGAACCATGATGCCATAAAACAGAGTTCCAATATGTATTGAATTCAGTGACGGTGGTACAAACTACAACTCTTAATTCAACGGCACTAACCAGGTATAAAGCTACATCACTCGATGTTCCACCACTGGCACATAACTATGCATGCATCACTTGTCCAATATACAGTTCCAATAGTATAGATGCAATCTATGAATCTACTCGAAACAAACAACTTAAGTAGCAGGTCGAGCGGTCCACCACTCATGTCATGGATTTACGTTCCCGGTTCGACTTCTTGCCCATTCAATATTCATATCTATGTTACAGTTAGTATGCGAAATCCGTTAGTTTGCAACGCAACTAGTTTCGTTGCAAACTACCTGACCGGCCAGGTAGTTTGCAACGAAACTAGTTCCGTTACAAACTAACTGACCGTCCAGTTAGTTTGCAAACTAACTAGTTAGGATGCAAACTCCCTAGTTACTTTGCAACGGAACTAGGTGTGTTGCAACGGAACTAGTTGTAATGCGAAATTGACGAGGCAGTGGCTCTATCTGTCGTTTATATTCATCGTTTACGTAAATTTTAGCAGCGGTTGTTAAAACAAAGCTGTGTTTTTCTAATGGGTGACACTAGACATACGAGTAGGACGGGTGGTCACATTTATGGATGAAAATTGAAACAGTTTCGACTACATAATGTGACGATCACTGGCGGATCCAGAGGAGGGGCAGTTCCGGAGGACATTTTACGATTTTTTTATTATTATTTTTTTTTAGACACCCAGTAACACCAGTCACCACCGCCGCCGCACAGAACAGAACTGAATTGTATTGTCCCATATTGTCCCGTGATCCGGGGTAAGCGTGCGATCAAGAATCTGTCTCACCGGCCGACTCCTACTGCGACTTGCCTAGCCAGGTGACCTAGCGGTGCCGGGTCATTCGGCAACAGCCAATGATCAAAGGGCAGGTTGCGTCACAGACTGATCGGTTGTGGAGGTAGGAGCTCGTCAGCGACTCGGTTATGGAATATTCCGAAAGCAGCAGAACCTTTACTTTCCGCTTATCCCGCGCCCCACTGGGGTCTGTGTATAACACGCCATACTGGGGGGGGGGGGGGGGGTCATTCGGTAACTCCTTACTCCGAAACTACTAGGCCGATCGTCAAAATTCAAATGGCATCTAATAGCCCCGGAAAAACTGTTGAGTGAAACAAAATTTCATTGACCTCGAGGTCACCGATATCGTCACAGGTCAGGTCAAAGAAAAAATTATCGATATTTGGCTTGTTCACCTTTTGGGCTCTGTGACCAGTGGCGCGGGAACCGGGGGGGCTAGGGGGGGCTGAGCCCCCCCAGCTTTTCGGCTGGGGGGGCTCGTAATGTATTTGAGCCCCCCCCCCCCCCCAGCTGGAGGAATCGAAATCAGAAATCTGCCAACGTAATTTCATAGATTCATACATAGGCGTGGGAACCGGGGGAGGGGGCAGTGGGGGAAGCTTGCCCCCACAACTCTGCGGCCGTGGGGGCGGTGCCCCACAACGTTTCATGAGGCCAGGAACCGTCGGGCAGCTTGTCCTCCCCAAATTAGGGGTTGTGGGTCACAAAGGAAGAAAGCATGTAAGTGAAAAATCCACCTATTTCACTGGCTCGGCAACTCATTTGGTAGATTAAAACCTTTACTCCAGGTTGCCAAAACGGTAGTTTCTTCACTCATCTGAGACGGAATACCTCACTTTTTGAAAATATTTTCGTTTTTTTTTTGTTGTTGAAAAGGCCAAGGTCTGAAAAATAAGTGGCCTAAAACCGGTGAGAAAACTAGATTTGAGGGTACCCTAGGTTGATTTCTATTATGGTTCAGCCCCCCCAGTCTGGAAGAAGTTCCCGCGCCACTGTCTGTGACTGCCGTCTTACAAGTCAGATCAGGCTGATTTTTGGTTTACACACTCGTGAACAGATGCTTTAGATACTCTGAAGGTACCAAACTTGTACTTTGATTTTCAGGTCAGGGTCAGGTCATCATAGGTCACGGAAATCTTATGTCATAAGTCGGTCACGTGACACATGTTTTATGATCCGTTTAGGCCATAGATTTCGAATTCGGTGTCGCCTGTGTCAGTTGAGGCCATTTTCATCTGAATTTAGCTGAGGTCAGGTCACTTTCAGGTCAAAAAAGGTCAAATTTTAAAGTTGAAATTTTTCAACAAAAACATGTCTATCGGATGCAGTTTGAGCTCAGGAACAGGATGGTGCTGTTTATATTGGTGTACGATGTCAAATTGATACAGAAAAATTGATTTGAAAATTTAAAATTGTGAAATTTTTGCTATAATGCGTATAACTTCGCCATTTTTGAAGATATCTGGCTAAAACTTGCTAGAGTAAGTCATAAGCATGTGTTCTATCATATTTATTCCGTTTTTTTTCGAAAAGTCCAAAAGTTTTTGAAAAAAAGATAAAAACAAATTTTAGATTTTAATATGTATAATTTTCAAAGCTAACAAAATTTTGAAAATTTTGAAAATCGAACATGACGTCACTCTGACGTCATTTCCGGCCGACCTATGATAGATACGAAGTTCAAATTTTGACACAGGGTGTCAAATTGATGCAGCCGAAGGTACCTACTGAAAGTTTGGCGGCGATACGTCAAGCGGTTTAGAAGTTATTGCAGAAAAACGGGGGGGCTATGAATAGCCCCCCCCCCCCAGTGGGGCGCGGGTTATGTCTACACATTTATGGTGATCACTGGCGGTTCCAGAAAGATGGTCTTAAACGTTGCGGGAGACATAATCCCAAAAAAGTTTTCCAAAAACCTTTCGGATTTTGATTCCAATCCTTTCACACGGCTATGCAATCTAACACAAGTATTTGATTATAAAAGTTGTTCAGTTTTCGTTTAGTTATCAAAATAAGTAAATATTTGTCGCTTTCGGGCGCTGCGTGGATGGCGGAGCGATTTTGCCCCCCCCCCCCTCTGGATCCGCCAGTGATCGTAACGTTATGTAGTCGAATCCGGTTAATTCACTGTTTCTATCCTAAATGTGACCACCCGTCTTATGTCTAGTGTCACCCGTCAGAAAAGCACAGCTTTGTTTTAACAACCGTTGCTAAAATTTACATAAAAGTTTAATATAACCGACAAATAGAGCCACTGCCTCGTCGATTTCGCATTACAACTAGTTCCGTTGCAACACACCTAGTTCCGTTGTAAAGTAACTAGGTAGTTTGCATCCTAACTAGTTAGTTTGCAAACTAACTGGACGATCAGTTAGTTTGCAACGGAACTAGTTTTGTTGCAAACTACCTGGCTGGTCAGGTAGTTTGCAACGAAACTAGTTGCGTTGCAAACTAACGGATTTCGCATACTAACTGTAACATCTACACAGTAGTCTGGCCTACACATTACACGCAAATCGCTGTCGCTGGCCGCTGCCCATATACGAAGAGACACACACACGATGAACATATGTGCAATACGCGTCTATCACTTTCCGTTATCTGTAACAACCGGCAAAATCAAATCAGTGCAACCCAGCTAATTATCACCTGTCCGGCAAGCCGTAACACCAGTCCCATTTTGTGACCTATACAGCCATTAAAAACTGCCTTAGACAGCTGAGGTTAGGATGACACCCCTGTGAGGTCAACACTCGCTCGACTGTGACTCTGCGCCCTGGAGGTCAGCTCGGCGGCGACCTGAGCCTCCGTGTCGTCGTGACCGTCCCGACAGTCGTTCCGACACGCGGGCCCAAAAACGGACAAACGGAGAGCCTGTCGTTCCTCCTCCGCTATCCTCTCTGGGGTCTAGAGTCCCGGTGTTACCAGCGGGCGGGGTGTCACCAGAGGTGGGATTGTCATTAGCGACAGGGATATCCTTAGACACGTGGAGAAAACTAGAGGATGAGCCGCTACCAATGACAGAAACGTCACTGGGTGAGCTAGTAGGGATGACAGAGTCAATAACTGTGAACGAACTGTGATCAGAAACAGGAGAATTCTCCAGATGATTGTCACTAAGTGATGGTAGGATCCAACCGTCAACGGACTCGCCCTTATTATCAGGAACAGCACCATCAGCGCCAGCGCCCATCCCATCAGTTGAACTACGAGCGGTACCATCAACTTCGCCACTACATTTATCGTCATGGACGCTCTCACTCGCACCCACACATCCTCTCTCGCACTCTGTCTTACGACTGTTCCTCCGAGCCTCTGCTCCTTTGATCAGAACACTCCCCTCACTCTCTTCACTCTGTGCGTCACTGTGACCAGTCATGCAACCCTCACGCTCTGCCAATGTCATCCGGCCGCTCCCCGCTCGCTCTGCCGTGAGCCTGTCCCGCTTCTGATCCAACGCTGGGTCCGGCGGAGGTTCCGGCTCCGCCTCTGCGATCGCCGCGAGTTTTGGCTCTGTTGATGCAGATGACGAAGCTCCCGGCACGGCCATAGTCGGCGTTTCTGGCTCCGCCGATGCGATTGTCGATAGGTCTGGCTCTGCTAGTGGTGGTGAGCTGAAACGCCGTCTGCCCGTCCCCAATGGAGCACTCTCGAGGCAGGACCCCGCCAGCGGCCAGCGTGGCGGCGTGACTTCCTCCAGCTCCACTACGGGCGAGAGTCCGCCGCTGTAGCCCACCAGTGACGTCATCCGATAGCTGGCGGTCACCACTGACGTTAGAGTAGCACCGGCCGGAGAGCGGAGACGGCCGGAGGCGAGGCCCGGCCATACACGTCCCGCGGCACCGCGGGATGATCGCTCGTTGGTCCCGTAGCCGCGCCAGACCGCGCTCAGAGGTGTGTCTGAAACAGAGACCTGCGGCACTGATCATCAGGCAGGCACGCGGGGACCGTCACTGTGGAGACAAAGCGGGGATAGTGCTAGTATGGAACGGATGACAAGAGGCTCAAGTGTCATCAAATGTAGTGGTTCCCACTCTTAATTAGTTTGACTACAATAAAAGGAGGAATATCTAAGGCTAGTCTAAAAAAACGTCACCTAGGTTACACTCACTACTTGCACTAATTGTACACTAACTGACTACTGTGGTACAACGTAACAGCGGAGATTAGCGTCGCATGCATGCCATTGATGCGCTGACACCTACCGTCGTTTGGTCGAACAGGGAGTCGACGCAGCGAACCAGGAAACCTGGCGCGATCTGTCCCATCTCCCTGGATTTCCTGTACGATGATTCCATGCGGCGTATACCTGCTCTTCATCCCGGGTTACCAGCAAAACGGACAACCCAACAGCAAACAGAACACACCCCAGACAGGCCGGAGACGAGCAAGCAGACGGGCATCCCAAACAACCAAACACACACAATCCCAAATTAACCCAACCCGTATCTCTATCTACAATCAATCAGCTGGTAGCAATAGTTATATTAAACCAGATATCTGTAAAGGTCATCACGTCGCAGAAGTCGTGCAACAGTTGCGAATGAATGTATTGATTAAACAATAATACTGCACTGCGACGCTCTGTATCAATGTTGCGACGCTACGCGAAAAAGGCATCCAGACCGGGCTACTTCAGCTGATTTATTTACATATTTACATCTAAGTGACGAAACCAGGGCAACGGCCAGCGGTTAGGAGACCGACTAAGCATACAATCATTACAGTACCGAGCGAAAGAAGTTCATGCATTAGTGACTTTGATCGGGAAATATTAGTTTATATACTCGACATTCTTTCCAATTAACTTTAATGACAAAAGTAGAAAAGTAAAAACAAAAACAAACGAGATATCCAAAGTCACACGCTTGAGCCCAGATGATTGAAACGAGTGCAAGCTTTCAAACAGGCGAAATGATAAAAATAACAAATGATACCCTCACTACATTCGCAAGCACCAGGTATGTTTAAGACAATAGGTAGAAAAATCAGATGAAAAATAGCAGTTTCATGAAGTTGTTTCTGTTTTGTATGAGCACCACTGTAAAGGTTTATAAAAACGGGTCAGCCAGAGAACGACAATCACAATTCACCACTCCATTGGAAATGGGATGACAAGGCGAGGCATTTAGCCGCCAGTCTTCCAGTCACACAGGAAAGAATAGACCGCGGAGCTCCAGCGTCAGAAACACACCACAGGTCACAGCAGCAGCCGGAATGCCAGAAGTCCAGCCACTGGTGATCGGCCACACCCCAACGTCTGTTTATCCATGCTAAAACGGGTAGATATCGGATAGTAGTCCCTTCTTGTGTACACCAGCACACAGCAGTACCGGCCAGAGTGTCCCGTGCCGGCGCGTGTACCTGCGCTCTCCTCGCTACACGAACATGGCTGAGCAGCGAAGGCAGACGATCCGGGCGTCGGGAGAGTAGACCAGCCATGGCGCCGGACAGCAGCTATAGGCGGGACTTCGGCCCCGGCGCCGCCGGTCGGCCGCCTAGAACGGAGCCGGACCCGGTCAGCGACTCCGGCTCACCCGTCTGTCTGTCTGTCAGTCCGTCTGTCTGTCCGTACCCTTCTTCTTAGTAAAAACATCCCCACGGAACTTTAACACACCCACACACAGCCGGCCACAGAGCGCGTTAGCTTTATTATGCGTAAGCTATACATACGAGCCCCAAGCAAGTCGATTCGGGACGCCAGTATCCGGCTCATCTCCGGAATTTTCCAGACTTCTCTCGGGTCTCGAGGCGTCAGGTCCCGCAGACGGCTAACGCTACAACACTCCCCTGGGTGTGCGGGCAGGACCTCCGCCCAGCGGTTCGTCCCAGCGGCGACAGCCCGCCCCAAAGTATAAATACGGTCACTGTAAACAGCACACTCGGCGTCTGGGCCACGACGCTAAATCGATCTCTCTATATGTGCACAAGTCTCCCCCCTCTGTATGTCTGTGATCACTAACATCGCGTCAGCTCCCGGCCGGCCAGAACTGGGCAACCGACAGTCTATTGGAATAACAAAGTGCGGCCTCGCTCACACACCAACCAATACATACATTTATACAGCGGAAGTCGTCTCCGTCTAACACTGGGGGCTTCCAGTACTGCCCCGCCCACACTCGTCACATCACAGGTACCTTTCCTAGGCTCATCGCTCGGCCAACGTCGCCCTATCGGCAGCTACAGCCGGGACTGGGACGGGAGCGATACCCATAGCCGGCCGGATGATGCCGACTTATGTCTTATCGGTCCTTAAGCTCCTATGCCTGCGGTTCTCGCTACTGGGACCGTTCAGGGGTTCAGCACCGCTCCACTCGGAGAGAGCTTCGTTAGAAGTATGCTCAGGGGGTGTGAGGGGATGGGCTCAGTCAATGAGTCGTATGTTACGGCATAGCTGTCGGGACAGGACCCACTGCAAACCACGTTAGCTAGCGTGGAATCCCTTCGTCCAACACCACCAACAAAGCAGGACTGCGCGGTTCTATCACGGGATACGACGGCTCCGGTAAAATGCATGAAATCACGTACAGCACACACACCACCCTTCGCTGCGCTGTCATATGTCAGAGTTGCCATCTCTGGTACCGAGATTGCGACTCCGTCCGATTGGGAAGTTCGAACATTCTCTTTGGCCAATCTCCGTCTGACCGGCCTGTGGAGTCCGCTCGATATTACCACAGGACCGGTCGATCGGCAGGTCGGACGCTCCGAACCCGATCCCAGCGAAGCCCCTTCGGTACGTGTGCTCGTGTGTGGAAGACGGGCCGCCGCGCGGCGCTGTGCTGTCGCTCTGGTGCCGGTGAACTGAGCGCCGCTCAGGACCGTCCGTCCGGGCCGCTCACGTGGATACAGACCGAGTCGGTCGCCGCCGTCACCGGGCCCTGGAACAGTATACAGCCGGCCCGCGTCACCGGCGACCCGACAGCAGCGCTGTCCGTCGGAACCCAAACAACACGAAACAAAGCCCCCAGGCGGCACCCGGTAACACAACACGAACCCAAGCTCTAATAAACGCCCAACATAACACTGAATTGAGGCCCGACAAAAGACAACACAACAAAAAGAACAAAAACCCATGGTAACAGTACCCGAAAGCGACAAAACAAAATGAGCGATAACACAAAACCCAGCAATACAAACCTTTTCCTACGTTGAAATGACTATGACGTATGAGTGCCAATGCTGCATTTGTAGACGTGGATAGTTGTGACCTAAGCACATGAATGTGTGAGATGTTGTTACCGATTATCAAGTGTAGACTCAATGGAAACGAGGACTTCATTCGGAGATGGGAACGAAGAACCCCAGGAATTGTCAAGCTACGTCCAAACAGCCTCCTGGTTCGATACAGCATTAGTGTATTCACATTGACTACCTGGATACACGAGACGCGTGCGAATCACGGAATACAACGTCATCATCTGAACGACAGTAGCACCCGCTAACAACCCACGTATCACCGTCTGAGGCCCTACAACGGACACGCTCGCACGCGCTGTCACACACACTAACACACACGCCCACTCACACGGTCACTTCACCCGTGTGACGGCCGATCGGCCGGGCGCGCTGAATTCGCCGCTCAGGCGCCGGCGAGTGCGCCAGTCTAAGCTCGAGCAGTACGGAGAGAGATCAGTCCCCGAGCGAGAGTCGGCCGGCGGGCGGGCCGGCCCGGCGGCCACAGGGCCGGGTGCGGCCCCCCAGACGCACCGAGTCACAGGGGGGACGGGGGGGGGGGGAGAGACTACGGGATCGAGTAGAACAGGCCGAGACAGACAGACAGACAGACATGCACACAGAGCGGGCGGGCGGGGAGATATCACCGGCGCGGGGCAGACGGCACCCGGCAGCCGCAGTCACAGACGAGGGGCACGCAGACAGAGCACATGAACGACAGAGAGAGGGAGAGAGCGGGCGGACCGCCAGAGACTGACGGCCGCACGGAACGGCCGGAGGGTCAGGATACACCGAGAGACATGAGACCGACAGATACAGAGATAGAGACGCGATGGAAGCTAGCTGGCGCCGTCCGCGCCGCCGTTCGTTCAGAGTGTCTCAGTGCGGAGCGCAGCGGTGACCGGCCGGCCGGTGACGGCAGGTCAGCGAGCCGGGCGGTCCGCCCCGGTCTCCGGCGGCGGCGGCTGGCGGCGCAGGGGAGGCGGAGGGGCCGAGTCCGGCGGACGGCAGCGGCGGCGGCCCGACACAGCCGGTCGGCCGACGCCCAGTCGGACACCGCTGGCGCCGCCCGGCCCCGGCCGGTTTCACTGCAAACGGGCGCTCGTCACCGCCGGCCCCGGCACACGCAGACAGACACACACTCATGATGAATGAGCCAGCTTAGGGCTAATGAACACAGCCGACCGACGAGCAGTGAAGACGGATATTTCGTCGGTACTCGGTATTTCGCGAATGAGTACAGCACTACGTGAGCCCTGGCGCAAGATGCCAATACATGGCTAACATCCGATCGCAATTGATTGGCAAGTCGTTTACCATCCTATTATTTTACATTGGCAGTAGACAAAAATGCTGCACGGGAAAACCGCAGCTGCATAGAAAGCCGTATTCAGGCGTAAAGCCGCTTAGAATGTAATAGGACCAGAAGTTCATAGCAGGCACAAAATAATAATAACGGCCGTAGCATTTCAATGACGATGACAGCATAAATGCTGAAAAATTACATGCAGTAAACATAGGTAACTAAATTCAACAGAGCTAGGAATACATATCAATACAAATAGCGATACGTCCGCACACATGTCTCATGTCTCTACGAAGGCAACGTGCTACGTAGAGCAATATACTACGTGCTACTACATGGGCAATATACGACGAAGAACTCAACATCGCGACACATCATGCCAGGAATGACGCCGCAATTAGCATGCTGAGACACATTAAAGTAATTCATCATGCAGCTACAGCTGTTATGAACGAGGTATGAGAACAGGATTTATTCAGCGTCGTCATACGCGCATTTAGATGGCACACAACTAAGCAGGGATGTCGTTTAATTTCCCCGGAAGGCAGCCCACCTCCGGTATTTTAAATAAATCATTTTCCGTAGCATAAAGTGGCTTCTAAAATAGTTGTGGCAACATGCCAACACAGTGATAGCGTTGCCGCGGTGACAATCGAAGCATTATAAATCAATCGACGTGCTGGGTACGACGAAACAATAACGGAGCAACATATTACCTATCGGCCGACCGGCTCTCTCAAACCAGGAAAACAAAATAAATGATAAGAAATACTAACGAAAGAATAAATACGAAAATGCAGTCATCTAACAAAATGAGAAAAACTCACCAAGAATAAACATCTACTAATAGAGGCATGGAACAATGTCTCGGTGTTATTCCAAGACTGCGGCATCGGTACGCTGTTGCAAAAAAAAAAAACATAAATGTACCGACTTATAACATCTCGACAAAACATACAGGACGAATCATTACGCAAACTAAGGCATGCTAACGCGGGGCACTAGAACTCAGATGAGGCAAGGCCATGGGAATTCGGTAGGCATTCGGAAGGGAAAATGAAACTGAGCAAAGTGCATTATTGAAACAATATAATCAGGTGGCAGCGGTCGTGACTCGTGGTGTTGCGGTGGGCATAACGTACTTATATATATAAAAAAAAAAAAACATTACGAGGGTAAACACATAGTGTAAAATAAAGTGTCTGAACAACTGAAACACACAGAAAAGCGGACAGTGTATGTGCTCATCACAGGACACCCACACATTCACAAGCCGTGAGCATGCCAAAACTGCCCGTTCCCTCAGACCGGCTGGCTGGCAGGGCTGTACCAGAGCCTGGCCAGTGTCCGCCCACCCCCACACCACCCTCCTACCGTGGCGGGCCGGGTCGGACGAGACTCTCTGTCCGGGACTCACCATCTCCGTTTCTGTGTAGCCGCCGCCGGCCGGCCGGCCGCTCTCAGCGTTGTTCAGCTTTGTGTACGGCATGGTGTTGACGCCGCTGTCACGACTGGCGTGCAGGCTCTTCACCGGCGTCGTCGGACAGCCTGCCAACGGTAACGGCGGTGGGCGCGTCAGGGAAGGCATAAAGGGAACATAGGTATGCAGCGCGAGAGAGGTAAGAAGACGACTGATCTACTGTCTACTGTCGTAACTGCCTACTGTGTATATCGGCACGTGGTGCCGTGTTCGTCAAAAACCACAAGGCTGAACTACGTATACGAAACTAATGAACCACTGAGCTACGGCAGTAACAATCAAACTATTACGAAAATACCAAGAACCAACAGACCTCAGTTCCACAGTCTCCAAAAACTAAAAATCGCACCATGGACTCAGATACTCTTAGTCCGGGACCAACACATCAGCGAGATCTGTGCCCTCTCATCTCCCCCTCCACCTCCATCCCCCTCCCCCTCTCGTTCTCACCAATATCTCCGCTGCTGGAGCTCTCGGTGAAGCTCGGCGTGCCCTCTGTCCAGGTGGGAGTGCTGCCTTCCACAGACATGGGCGGTGTCCAGGTGACGTGCCGCAGCGGGCCGCCGGCCGCGCCGCCGCCGCCGCCGGCCGCCGGACCCGAGTCCACGCTCAGAGACGAACGTGAGTCGTTCCGCGCGTCCAGGTGGATGTCGGAGACGCTGTGGGTCGAGATGCGGGTGGGGAGACGGTATAAGTTGGTGGTTGTAGTGTAGAGACGCGGGGGGTAGAGAGGTGGGGCGAAAAGAATAGGTGAAAAGTGGGATAGCGGGAGGGTAAATGGGAAGCTGAATGCTGACCGAGGGTTACCATTTACGAGATAGAAGACGAGCATATGTGAAAAGGAGAAGTGGTCTAGCGGTAAATAACGAGGAAAGCGATGGGGAGGAATCGGGTGCAACAGCATCGGTGGTTTAGTCTAATATGATATCAAAATGTTGAACGCTGGGTATGACAGCCTACTATAGTATCGAGTATGAAAAACCTCATGATTGGACTTCACATGAAGGAAGGATGGTACTCATTCGAAGGGATTAACTGATCTATATGTGTTACTGATGTCGAAGCGCTAACTACGAACTATGCTTGGACAAGCGCGATTGAATGCGTCCCTGCATAACTTGGAGGTAAGAAACACGTGCGGCTAGTATGCTGACGAGTACAAATCAAACGGACGCACACAGGACGGACACAAATTCGACAGAACAATCTCCGGCAGGCTTTGTTAGTACATGGACCTGATGTTATGACAAATGTACGATGCGGCTGGCCAAACATTGCAGAGTTGTCCTGTAAACAAACAAATCACTCAAAACACGCGACTGGAAGGTCAGCTTCGCCTAGATGACGCCACCTCCTTGACTCACTAGAGGTAGTGGGTACTGTAGGTTTTCCATGACTGGACGGGGAGATCGCTTCTCTATTTACACCTACTGAAAAGGCTACGGGAGCGGATCAGGCTCAAAACGCAGAACCGGCGAACCAGTACATAAAAGTGGGAATTTTGAGTAGCTTTTGAAGTTGACATGAGGTGCAATATCCTTTAAACTGTTATATTCTATGATATATGTATTATGTAATATGAGCCAGTGATCTGGCGCAATAGATTGCACTGTCTTGTCGGTTCGGTGCTGTGAGTCCGACACTCCTCTCTGTGACGGGTTGTGCCTCCTGCGTTCGACAGTCGGTGCGGTACGGGGTCAGGTCGGGGTCAGGTCAGGTCAGCTTGGGGTCAGCTCAGGTCAGACCGCCGGGTACCTCACAGTCCTGTTCTCAGTGCGGCGCACCGCCACCACCGACACACTCAGGTGATGGACCGAGCGCTGGTACTGTTCCGAGCGCTGGTATCGCTCTGATCGCTGCACGGCAGTCACCACCGCCGGCCGCCGCCCGCTGTCGGCCACACGGCGACACAGACTGCTGAGCTGGCTGTGGTACGGTACGGTACGGTACCACAGGCACGCGCTGCTGCAGCGGTACACTTGTGCACACCTTCCCAGTACACTTATACACCAGCCCCGTACACTTGCAAATCCACCCGAACATCTCGTGCCCTCGCCACCACTTGACCGTACTCAGCAATAAAATGCCGCCCTTATCGGTTACAAAAATACAGGGGCAATGTAACAATGAAAACGCAAATGGCAAACGTGCACAGGACGCTGACCAGCACCGCATTCGGTTCACTCCATCAGCTGGCATTAGCTGTGTTATCTGCAAACTCGGGCATCACATTCGCACCTACACCGACTCAAAACCAAAACAAAATCGGTTATTTAAATCAAAACAAAAACCTCTCGAACCACGAGTGTCGTCTGAAACATCAATCAGCGTTCCTGTTAGCCTCAATTCACGCCGAGCTGCTGTTCTAAGTCGGTTAGTTCACGTCACGGCACACAGCACTCGACCAGTACCTGGTACCCGCACGGACCGCCTCCTCTGCGCGCCGGCGCATATTGGGGGCACTTAGCTCCGGGGTTCGCAGAACAGAAGGAAACCGAGCCAGATGGCGCTTATAGCCGACCAGCCTACCGGGCGGATAAGACGCACGACCACGTTAGGCACGCTAGATCAAAGGAAGGATTCCTGGTGCTATGAGCTCTATGGTTGGTGGACGGTGAAGGTGACGGTGCTTGTGACGGTAACACTGACAGTGATGGTGAGGGTGGCACAGTGACACTGACGGCGATTGTAGCGAAGACAGTAGAGGAGAGTGTAGACGGCCGGCCGCTGCGGGCCGCCCGTCAGTTTTGTAAGGATCAGCTCTGGCGCCGATGACAGCGACACTAACAGAACCCAGTGCGCGCCGGGTGTGCACGATCATCACGACCGACCCACGTATCTGAATCTCACCTGATGGAGTCTCCCTTGTCTCCGTCTGCGGTCGAGCCACTGATGGTGACCTGGGTGACGTGTCGAGACGAGGTGGTCTCCGGCTGGCTGACGCTGCTGGCCACACTCAGCTGCTGCTGCAGCGGCACCCCACCGCCGGACACTGCAGGGAGGGGCAGGAGTCAGAGGCAGGTCAGTACGGACAGCGCACAGGGGAGTGACCGACAGCTGGCTAGAGGGACCAGGGGTGTTTTACTAACAGGACACTGCGGAAAGATACAAGATTGTATGACACGGAAGCGGATGAACCAAAAATGAACACTATGGTTTAGTAAACCATACCACGTTAGGCGAAAGGGTTTGCAAGAGTTAGGGGGCAGATCAAGAATTGCTCTTTTGCCCATGTTCACATTTATCAGACTGTCGTGCCTAGGATGAAGAGCCTCCAAAGAAAAACATCCGCCCCTCGGCTGCGACGACGTTATGAAATACATCACTGTGGGGTGTGACGGCCGATCATATATCAAGGCTGATGTAGCGAGCACAGCTAACGGCGCCAGACGGCTTTATAATACTCGGACTGAGGAGCAGTCTGAGACTATTTACATCACATGATTTATAAACACAAAAACCCTATAAACTATGTCTAAGTTCAAAAATTCTGCAGGATCTATCAGCAAAGTAAAGAACAGAAGACTTGATAACTCAAGTGATGAGAATATACAACTCAATGAAAAAGGTGTACAACTCATCAGCTTCGTGTTTCTATTCACAAATCACTATTTTCACTAATTCCGAGGGCGTGGAAGTGGACAGCAGTGGAACACGATGCAGGCAGCAGCAGAACTGAAAAAGCAAACGAGAATAACCAATCCGAATTCATCGCTCATGTACAAACTCAGTCAGAAGGCCCCGGCCTGTGACCGGTACACCTAGACCGACTGACCGGCGGCCGGCCGGGTGTGAACTGAACGGGCAGGCGACATGCGGGCCGCGGCGGCCGGCGCTGTACTGAGCAGACAGACCGGACGGACCAGAGGTGTCGTCGGTCCGCCGCCGGACCACCAGAGCCGAGACTCTGCCGCATGCAGTCGGCCGCTCCTCGCCCTCGGCCGGCGAGACACGGCGGCGGCGAGTGACGGGGCGGGCCGGGCCGGGGCGGGGCGGGGAGGTCAGTACCGTGCCGTGCGCAGACGGGACAGACGGCCGGTAGAGAGGCCGTGGACGACACGCAAAGCAGCACGCCGGCCGGCCCGGCATGCCATGCGCGCCCGGACGGCGGCCAGCCGGCAAGAGGCCGCGGCGGAGACGGGACGGGACCGGACTCTGGTGACGACGCGCCGCTGCTCTCCGGGTCCGGCCGCCACCGCAGGTCTGACGAGAGGAGAGCAGGGAACAAAGGATGAGAGGAGAGGATATGAGAGATGACATCGGTGATTGAAGGAAGATATGAGTTTGAGAAGGAAGATGAGGATAAGACAAGATTATAGGATATATCAAAATGGCATAAAGACATAAAACGGCTCCAACAAGGACACCAAATAGGATTTGAGATATCAGTCGCATGAAATGAGTAATACATTATATTGATTGAAGCAATTTGAGTTCATGGAGGTGGGATGCTATGACTGTTTTTGATCTGAGGTCTTACAACTCTGTGAAGGACCGATCACGGGAGCCGGAGCGGGACGGGGTCGGACCTAGTCGCCGCTGGTCGCTCCAGGTCGTGTGCAGGTCTTCTCCGCGGTGTCGCGGGGACAGGAGCGGTTCAGGAGCGGCGCCCGGCGGCCGCACGGGCCGGAGCTCGGCCACCGGGCGGGGCGGGCGGTAGGGACGCGGCAGGCCGGCCAGACAGCAGCGGGCGTCGACCGGCGGCGGCGGCGGCGCACTACCTCTGCTGCGAGCGCCGACCAGCGGCAGCGACTGCGGCGAGCGCGGCGGCACGGGCGGCGGCTGCCGGCGCCGGCCTGACGGCGGCGACGGCCGCGGCCGATCCTGCAGCACGGCCGGCAGCGACACCTGGGCGGCGCCGGCCGCGCTGGGGGCGGGCGCGGGGCACGACGCGGGAGGGGTGCTGGGAGCAGCTCCTGAAACACGACACACACACACGTCCGCACCGCGTCAGCGCCCGCTATCTAGGCAGACCACCACCGGCACCGCCGACAGACTGTCGATAGAAATTCAGCCAGACAGACAGTGAGAAAAACGACAGAAGAAAGCCAGAGAGGAAAAAGAACATGGTGAGTGAGCAGGAAATGTAGTGATTCGATAACTGATTTGACTACACAAGTTGGGAAAGTGGCGATTTTAACCGAAAATAATCTTTACAGAAAATGCCAGGATACAATTACTGGATGCCAGACATGAATGATTCCAGGAAATAGAGTGAAAGATGAGAGAGCGAGCTCGATAGTCAGCTCACAACACCAACTGTGCGACAGAGCCAGCCGCTCGCGGATGCCACAGACCACATCTCAGACAGGAACGCGGCGCGCGCGGCGGAGCCAGCCACATGCCTCGGGAGGGGACAGAGGCAGAGGCAGAGGCCGGGGGAGGGTGACAGCCGATTAGCTACCCACCTGGCTTTGCGTCGCTGGTGGTCGTCGAGGGCTGTCCTGCAAGGGCAGCGGCAGCGTTAGTGAGACGCTCCCTACGGCACAGACCGCACTAGCACCGTCCCGACCACACAAACACACACGCAGAAACCCGGACTACAGCACAGTCGGAAAACCCGACAGAACAGCACCCCCACCACCGAAGAAGCGTTAGTGAAACTGAGGCCACGCCGCTTTGGACAGTCAGAAAACCCAACACCACATCACACCCACCACCGAAGAAGCGTTAGTCCCCGTAGCGGTTATCTGCCCCGATTAGACAGCACTTACTGCCGACGGCTGGCCTGCCGGGCTGCCGGGCCCGTCCCTCGGCCGGAACTTCTGACGACTCTTTGCGCTCGTTGTCTAGTGCTCGCATCCGCAGCGACTGACCTTTCCGCTTGGAAGGCGAGTGCCGCAGCGCTGCGGGCGTGGTGAACAGCGGTCAGCGCGGAGCACGCGGCGGAAGGGGCGGAGGGACACGGTATAGGGTAGGTGGCTCAGAGGGGCGTAAGAGGGGGACGATCAGCAATAATTGACACATCAGAACGCATCGAGAGCAGTTGCAAATGCTCGACAAAAATCTGCGGAAGAGCCAGGGCAAAAAACATCGTTCGACATATTTATAACCGATCGTAACATCATAATGAGGCGGAGCAGCAGTCCAAGCAGCAGGACAACAATCACAACTGTTACGTACCACCATACAACAAATAATCACCACTTCACTGACGGGCATCTTTAGGCAGCAATCTGCAGTTTGCATCCCCGCAGACCGGCCGAGCTCAGCTATGAGACTCAGCCAGTCCCGGGGTCGGCAGGCAGGGCGGTGGGGACACAGGCACGGGACGGCTACCCTCTATATCCGCGGCACTCTGACGCCGGCCGCGGACGCCAGGCGACATGCTGCCACCTCCGGCCTGCGCCGGCGGAAGCCATGCATTTGGCCGGCACTGTGAGCCGGCGCGCGCTGCGAGCCACGGTCCCTGAGACCGGGCCCCGATCGGGCAGGCAATTGAGCTGTTCGGCGGTCCCGCTGGCTGGCTGGCGGCCAGCAGCGGAGCCCAGGCGCCACGGGCCGCGCCGTGCCGGCACTGGCCGGACAGCTGGTAGAGCATCCCACCTAAACGCATTCTCTCCGCTGTCCCTACCATTCCGGCAGTCGCACCCTACTGTGATCTACCCTCTGGTGTCGCCCTCCCAGAGACCTGCGTAGTGCCGAAAGACGAGTCTGTCAGGGTAGCAGGCACGGCCAGAAGCCCGACATTCAGCCACGGGGGCAGTGCACACTACAGCTAACACCGAGTCACTAAACGGCTAGCGGGGCAGAGCAGGAAGAGCGACAGAGAAAGAGTGAGTGAGGGAAGAGAGAGGGAGCGCCCGGCGCGTCCGTACCCATGTAACTGGACACGAGAGTGCGGAACTTGCGGTGGTTGCCCTGAATGCCGTCCACTGCGTCCGCAGAAGACAGCGGGCGACAGAGAGAAGACAAACGGGGCGCCAAACGGGTCGTGTTAGTGCGGACGCTCTGTGTTGGGGCGCCGGGGACGGGGCGGGGCGGGGCGCTACGGCTGGCGGCGGCTCTCCACTACCCGAGCCGCGCGGATCACTCACAGACGGGGCGGGGCGGGCACGGCGCCGGCCGCGCCCGCCCCCAGTCACACACGGGAGTTACGGCAACACCCCGCCTCCCTCCCGCCACCCACGTCACACACAGACACAGTCAGACCGTACGGTAAAAACTGCGGAAACGACAGAACAGTGAAGTCTGCGCTGCGCCGCCACCCGGTCCTCTGCGCTCTCACGGAGGAGAGAAGCGGAGGCCGGAGAGAGGGGCGGCGCCCGTACAGCGAGAGACACTGCGGGTTCAGCAAGAGACGGCCGCGGCCGCGGTGTGCCGAAGCGAGACTGCGGTGCCGAAGACGCGGGGACTGCGGTCACAAACACAAGTGGCATACTCACGCGAGGGTATCTTCTGGAACACCGTCTTGCCCATGAAGTCGGTGAAGCGTTTGGCGTAGAAGTCGGGTCGGTGGACGGAGATGGTGTTACCGTCGTGCACCATCGACTTGAACGTGTGCTCGAGCCGCTTCTTCATCCGGTACGACTGCAGGATGTCTATGATTCCCAGGAAGAGCAGCAGCCGCTCGCCGCGCGAGTTTCGCGCAGGGATGCCTCCCGGTCTGTCGGGTTAGACACAGGGTCAGCCATCAGCCATTTGATGGAGGAGTGTCGAGTGTGGGGGGGGGGGGGCGGGGCTGCGGATCTGGAAATCTTAGCTGGTCTTGATTTATGGCATCGGCCAATACAATGACCGCTGTAAAATGGCACGTCCAGACAATACATATATGGCCTGAAATAGTGCTCTATTAACCCAGTAGAACGGCGAATCGACAGAACAAACACACCCAACGAACAAAACAAGCTGACGTCATTTCGCGGCAGACAAGTGAAGAGGAGTAAATGCATTAATTATGTATTATTAGGCAAAACGTCGACCGGAAAATTCAAGCTCCACCCAACCTGAACTCCAAGCCAGGTTATGTTCTCTCCACGAAAATCCATTTCATTTCCATTTCATTGATCTGTTCCGTCATCATCCGCCATAAACTTTCCGTAGGATCGGGACGCGTGCATTATGTGTCCCAAACATCGTGCATTATGTGTCCCAAACATCGTGCATTATGTGCCCCAAACATCGTGTCCGTGGGCTGTGAATCATCCCGAGCCGTGCGCTGTATTCGTGCCAGTCCCAGAAACACGGCCTACCGACGGTCAGCACAATATGGCATCCGTGCGTGAGTAATGTGTCAGCAGCGGCGGCAGGAGCGCCGCGAGACTGCACGGGGCTCAGTCGGCCGGAGGAAAACACAGGCCGATACGGAAATCAACACCGCGCGGGGGAGGCGAGGAGAGCCCACTCCAAACGGCCCGCTCAGCTGCTCTGTCCACTCCCGGCCTCTGCCCTATCAGCTGACTCACCGACATTGACATACAGCCGAGCCCCTCCCAGCCTCTGACCATCACGAAGGGTCGCCGCCGCGGCGCGGTCCGCCCCTCCCCATCCCCCTCCCGTCGCATGTCCAGCGCCACCCGGCCTGGCCTCCCCCTCTCCCTGTAACCATACCCTCTCCCCCGCTGACTCACGGCACGTCCTGCTGGTCGTCGATCGGCTCAGACTCGGCCTGGATGCTCTCCATCGCCGTGCTGTGAGCCACCAGACGGTGGCGGTTGATACTCCGCGACCGACTCAGGCTCGGGCCGTCGGCCGCGTCACCGTCCGGCTCCGCAGACTCAGCCTGCTAACAGACGCACGCAAATGCGCGTTAACACACTCGCACAAACGTTAAACGAAGAGGAAACCACGCACTCACACGCACATACACTCGCCAACAGACCAGTTCGGGTCAGCTGATGTCGGATAGCGGTCGGTCGCTGCAAATTCCGACAGTGTAACGCTAGCCACATAGGGTTGACTAGCCGGTCAATATCGTTCGCCTGTTGCTTTCGGTGCAATTGGCTCGAAAACGCCCGGGTTTGTTTTGACGTTTGTTTTACGTTCAGTGACACGAAATACGGCCGGCATTGTTAAGTACCTAATGCGAATGAAATGCGTTCACAGCAGCTGTCAAGGGTTGGTTTGCTTATGAGTTTGCCATTGGGCATTGATCATGAATTAGATTCACGGGAATTTAACATCGACCTTTCAAGCGTAGTTACGTAACTAGGCGCCAATGCATATGCGATGCGCTAATCCAGATATACGATTCAGCCTGCACGAAGCGTCTACTTACTGTCCGCTCTTTGGCAGCGATATCCAGGTTGTGAACGCCCACCAGCAAACTGTAGTCCATGATCTGGAAACTCTCCAGCACCTAGACGGGGGAGAGAGAAGGAAGGGCTTAATCAGGGAAGAAAAATACGCTCCAACACAACACGAAACTGCTCACACAGCCGAGCTCCATCTCCCTGCAAAACACAGACTTATGTGACACAAATGTAGGCCAACTATTAACATTATGATATTCGCTAAACAGTTACCAGCAGGACAAAACAGGAAACTCGGAGCTGTCCGTAGACTCACCCGGACGTCGTTCTGCATGGTGTGCATCAGCGCAGTGTACGTGGTTGCCTCCAGCATCAGACCCTCGGGATGGTGCTCCATAAAGTCCAAGTCCTTGAACGTCGGAGAGCTCTTGGCTCGCTCATGTTTGTTGGCCTGCATGGGGATAAGAGATTATGGTCAGTGATGATCGTGGTATGGGTGTGCAAAGTCAACACAGCCACAGCCTGCCAAACAGTACTTAGTTTCATTCCAGACATCAATCGGGTAAATTCATCGACAAATAGTGTGCACGGTTTCGCACCTTTCGTTTGTATGTGGAGCCCTTCAAGTCATAGCGCTGGTGCATTTTGATAGATGACGGCAGCAAGTTGTTCATGACCACCAGGCGAATGTTCTTCGAGTTGCACTGATAGCAGTACAGGCCGAAGAACTTTGGTAGCAACGTTCGCGGGTTCTGGTTGAGGTTCTGTAAACAAAAATATCGGTGTTAGCTCTACCCTACGACTGTCAAGCACATAATTCGTCGTGAAATAATCCTAGTCATAGCCCCGCGATACGCACAGAGTTGCCTCGCTGCAATGAATCTTATCGGGTTATCAGCAACGCTAGCACGCCGTACACATGAACTAAGACTAATAAAAGTGTAAGCAACGACCAATGCAAGGGTAACACCCGGTCGAGAATCGAGAGCAGGGACCCGCGCGGAGTCGAAGGGGGAAAGGACGACGCCGGCAGCGACTGACCATGAAGTAGGCGGGCAGCAGCTTGAGCAGCAGCTCGCCCTCCTTGTGCTGCACCGTCTTCACAATGAACTCGTCGTCCAGTGTCAGGTAGAAGATGCTGCCCGACGCGCCGGCGTTGGCCAGCTCGCGCAGGGGTTCGTTGCACATTGAAACCTGTGAAACGGACGGCACCAGTCACAAACCGGCTTAGGTTAAGACTGTAACGTTTTAATGGTCTGGTTTCGTAGCAAGTCACCTAGCCTAAGATCATGCATCATAATAAAGATCACTGATACTTAATGTGCACCAAATAACCTCTAGAACTCTACCATTACCCTATCTACCAATCAAACAGGGACAGGTAAGCATATGATCTACGCAAATAAGCTTAAAATTTACCGGCATGGTCAATTTGCATCTCAAATATGAGATAGCAAGCAAATACCCTAAGCAAATGACCTCAACAGATAGCCGATATAAGTGTTTATGATACCTTCATGAACAACCACACAGTTGACATGTAAGGATCTTTTTTCCTGTCCGCTTCGCGCAATCTCACCAGAAAGTCGTCGGGCCTGATTCCGAACAGAGTTCGGAAGTACTTGAAGCCGATAGTGGCGTATATTTTGAACCGGAAATCCGTGTAGTGGTGGGCCGGCGTGTGCTGGCTGCCCTGACTGGGAAAGGTGACCGTCTCTATCGTGTAGAAGTCGTTCAGGAGGACGTCTCGGCGCGGCCGGGACGCCTCGGAGCCGAGCGCGTACGAGATGCCCAACTGGATCGCCCCCATGATGGTGGTGGTTTGAATCTGACGGCGGCGCAGGTCGGGGCGTCAGGGAAACGATACGCGAGAATGCGTGGGTACATGGGGAAGGGTAATCGATTCTGGTGAGATAAAGTCGGTGGCGAATGAGCTTACAATTTAAAACATCGTAAAATTGTGGACGAACGAATATCAACCAACATAGCCTTGGAAACGAAAATTTAAGAAAAATTCAGGCTAATGCTGACATCAAAGTTAGCAACCATACAGCTTTCCAATTTCAAGCGGAGTACTTCTCCATCCATATTTCCAAAAAAGGTTATCCTCATGTTCCGTTCGCCATCACGATACAGGTGTGTCATCTGTCATCTGTCTTTCGCCGCTGCCTGCTGCAGCCTGGCGGTCCCGTCACTCTCCAGCCGCTCCTGGGCCGTACCTTTTTATACGTGACCTCTCCCTCTCGCACGCGTCGGTGGCCCAGCTTCTGTTTGTCGGCCTTATTCCGTGTGGACTGGCGTCTGGCGTCGGAGGGCGAGCCGGGACTGGGCGGACCATCGCCCTCCGGTGCCGAGGCGGCCGACAGCGCCACAGCCATGGCTGTCTGGCCGGCCAGCTGGGCCGCTGTGATCTGTGCGACAGAGACACGGGAGTCAGAGCACTGCAGAGGGACCTAAAAATAGGTATAGCTAGCGGGAAGGACAACAAAAGAGATGGACGGCATGACTGTACTTATGTGAGACGACCACGTAAGTAAAGTCAAGGAGGACACATTGTATACTAAACACTATTTGACGAGCAAAAGCTAAGTCTATACATCATCACTTCAGCGAGCAGGCACATATTCACGCGAGTCGCGACGCGGCCCATGCTAATACGCACTCTTGATAAGTGGGATGGCCTTGACTCATCAGTTTTGTGAGCTTGATAAACAAAGCCTAGCAAGGACACGCCCTGTGTTACACAACGTTTGATAACATTCAACAGGAGCAAGGACCAAACAGTTGTGCAAGGGCACCATGGGGCCGCGCAGTGCCATGCAGTGCGGTGGTCACCGTCGCTGACCGCGGTAATCCTATTCATATCCACCAATTTGTCTACCGGTCAATCGGGGCTGGCCCGAGGGGACGAAACAGGGACGGTTAGACAAAACGAGGGGCTCTCCACAGACTACAGAGGGAGGGGGCTGCTGACGGGGGGGGGGGGGGGTAAGGCTGGCGAATGCTGCTCGGCGACGGTGCCCTAATGGTGCCGCTCCTAGGGGCGGTCCCGCCGCTCTTTAGGATCGGGGCGGGGCTGCTGACGCGGGCGGGACTCACATCGAGCGCGGGCGGCGCCTTGTTGAGGTTGCCGCGACTGTCTCGCGGAGCGGCGGAGTCGCCGATGGCTCCTCCGGCCGCCGGAACCTCGGCAGCACCATTCTGCTCCGCCATCGGCCGCTCTGGAGAACACGCACACACACGCGTACGATCAGTTAGGTCAGCACATATTGTCGGCACATATTCGTGGGCAAATACCAAATACCAATTTATTCAGGCAAATCCACTCATAGTGGCCATTCCTTGCCATCAGTCAAGTTGTGAAATGCAGTGATATAAAGACATTCACACTTTCCATATGCACATAAACTAAAACGGGCATAAAAACTAAACTAAGACAAAAATGACGACGACAGCAATTAACTAGCAGTAAAACACGCATTCCTATGTTTCCTTCGTGCTGATAACCCGCTTGAGAGCGTGATTAAAATTGGCGACTGTCATCGTACGCATTTCCACTGGGAGGGCATTGTACAGTATCGGTCCACGAAATATGCAGTGATAACGTAACAGATGGGGACAGACAGAACATGCCTATAGCCCGTTGGGAGAGAACAGTAGTAGGTATAGGTTTCGTTAACACCAGGTTCGATTGGACGAAATTTAGCAAAATCGATAAATCATTCCACGAAACCATCTCATCACTATCGACACATAAAAAGCAAAAGGGACACCATGCCTTCAAAGAATATAGGAAGCTTTCATCTGATATTTAACCATCCATAAGACCGACTATCACCGGGCCAAACAAAGCCGATGCCAAAATATATCACGTTCCAGCCAGCCGGGCGGCCGCCGCCGCAGTTCAAAGCAGAAGGGGGCGGTTACGCCGACAGACGAGCGGCGGCCGACGCTGGACTGGCTTCCGGTACTCCGCCGCCCCCCCCCCCCCCCGCCCCCCTCGGCCGGCGGCCAAACAAGACCAGAAGCCCCGGTCCGGTGGCCCAGCCGGACGGCGTGACGTCACGGGGACTCCTCACCCAGTCACGGCCGTTACGCGGCGCGGCCGGCCGGCGTGACGCGACCAGCGAAAAGCCCGCGTCACGTCACACTCAGCCCGGTCGCCACGGGAATTGCGTAACGGGGGACGTCCGTGCCGACAGTGACTGGTCCCCGATCGTCTCGGCTCGCTCTCTCCCCGTTCCCCGCAATATCCCGCAAAGAATCTGACTGGCATCACCGCAACCCTGTGCCGCTGCTGCTCGTAATTCTGAGAGCGCTGAGACAAGAAAGAAGTGCAGGGGGACTTGTGGATGGCATGCTGTGGGAAGGAAACAGTTCATGCGATTAGCCTTGAGCTCACTGTTGATGTATTCAATATCCATGGCCAAATTTGTGGACAGGTCTGCAGTCTGCTACTGGATAGATAGACCAGTCATGGTGTAATGGGTTGAGAGAACGAACAGTCACTGATGTCTTAAATATGAAAGTGATTCCAATCACAGCTAAATGACTTAGCGCTTGAAATGGGATTTATAGTAACAAAGTTACTTATCTGAAATGAAAGAAATTGATGATTATGAATCATTGCCTATGGACTCTATCTAAGTCCTAGCTGAATAACTACAGCTAACCAGAATATATACAGAAATTTTCAATTATTAGGTAATGGCTAGATAAAGTTAACTGCATGTGCTTCCAAAACCATACAAAAGCCACTTGCAATTGACTGTTCCTGCTAACAGAATGCTAGTTATTTTTATGGGTTTACTCAAACATTTCAAAACTTTCAATTATGTTTTTTCCCACATTTCATATCATAATCAGCTCATAATCTACTAGTACTATAAACTGGCCAGAAATGTTGGCAATGTGGGATGAAAAAGAAATATATTAATGTATGGGTACCGTAAAACGGGGTGTTAAACGCAGTTCACACTTGACCGTCAGTCTGTCGGTGTCGGGCCCGTCACCGTCGACCTGACGGCCTGCAGCCCGTCGAACGAAAGTTGAGATTTGGTAGCTCCCATTGGCTGCCATATATTGTGACAGAAATGGCGCACCATTTTCGAGATTGACGCAGATGGGGGAAGGGGATGGGGAGGCCGAGAGGTTAAAATATTATTTGAATTACAGAAATAAAATACCACGCATTTACATTTTTATGTCAAATATTGCTGAAATTTTATTTAAATGAAAGACACATAGGTTCGCTGATTTAAATCAGGGATCGAATCTCAAAATATCGTGCCGTAATAAACACTTTCATCTAAAAAATGGATGGAAATTGGTATTAATACTCTTAAAAATGCATATAAGCTTAATGCTGCATGAGAACGTTCCTTTTCCTCTTCCTCCAACACGCAGATATTCAAACCGACGGGCCCGTCACCGTCAAAAGTTGAACATTGCTGAACTTTCCAAAGCGACGGCCGTCAGGTCCGGCGCCGGCGCAGTCAGCTGTTGCCGACCGTCAAACGCTGCCGGTTCACACATGCCCGTCGACCTGACGGCCGTCGCTCCGTCAGATTCGGCCGTTTTGACGGTGTCGGGCCCGTCACCGGCAGACCTTACGGGCAAGTGTGAACTGCGTTTTAAGGGACAGTTTTGAGGTGTTTTGTTATATAACTCAAGAAGGGTTGGAGATAGAAGCATCAAATTGTCAGCATTTTATGTGGAATTTGGTGCTTTACATGCCTGCCACATTAAAGTTTTTATGATTTATACCTGCATATTATTTTTTATTATTTTTCATCACTGTCTCTTAGCACCCCAATGTGGGGTGTTAAGGGACACCTATATTATTCCAAGAAATGGTCATCAATTGCCCACAATTGGGGTGTGGAAGGGCACACAATTTATTTATTGAAATGTTTTGCATATTCTGTCACAAAACAAGTCAGGTTCATTCACCACTAATGACCTTTTTAGCCAATTATGTGTAATGCAGTTTACGCTTGTGGAAAATGTGCTAATTATAAGGTAAACAGGACCAAAAAGTAATCTTCTGTCATCAATAAAAACCCATGTTGAAGCTAGTCACTTGTCATTATGTTGCCCTCTTTGTTTTAGCCTTTTTATGATGACATTACATTTACCTACATCAGTCTCCATTGACCCATCATTGTAAAAGAGAATGTTGAGATGTTTTGTTACATAACTTAAGATGTGTTAGAGATAAAAGCATGAACTTGCCAGCATTTTATGTGGAATTTGGTGTTTTCCATGCCTACTTAATCAAATTATATTAATATAATATTTTTTATTTTTTCTTCCCTGTCCCTTAGCACCCCACATCCACCTCAAAATATGCATGTATCCGGAAAAGAGGAAGAGGATGATGAATGAATGGGTGAATTTGCACAAGTTTTTCAGGAAACATGTGCAATACATGTGACAATACACCTATGCATTCATTTTCCCTGTACACCCACTAGTTTATGTGGTACACACAGAGTTTTGGAGATGTTTCAATTTTGTGAAAATGTAGCATGATTTTCAAATCCATTTTTGAACCAAATCACTTGCATGAAAAACCATACCATTTTCTCCTATGGTCAAGAGCAAAACAGTGTCAACTACCACACTGAAGTTTTTATTGAACCTTCTCAAATTAGGAAGTTAATATGACTCAAAGTTTTTCCCATGCAACTGTCCCTTAACACCCCACTGTCCATTAACACCCCATTTTACGGTACCTACCTACATCTGGTACCCAAAACTAAGATCAAAGGTGAAAGCAAGTTCTTTGCCATTCATATGTATTTGCCTTATAATCAGAAGGCCCACTGCCTATCAACCTCGCCCACAAGCAGCACAGAATCCTGTGATACAATGTGCTGCAATGGTAGATGTAGGTGAAGGTGTACCCTTTGCATCAGTACCACCTGGTTTTGTTCAAATTTTACTTTTACTTTTACTGTTCGGTTGCATTACTTTCCATTGTTTTTTTTTTTAGATAGGATTTCCACAAGAGGACAGGATTAGGTAGGGTGGAATGGATCTTGCCCAAATGCTTCTTTTACATTAAAGGGGCCCTCCCACCTTAACATTAGATTTGAGTTGAGATAGCCAAAATGGGGTCCCTGGCTCACAATTACCGGTTTCGGCACTCACAACATCGAGAAATGCCTTAAATCGGAAATATTGAATTTCAAAATTGCAGCATTTTGATTCAGAGGGGCTAATGCATAGGAATACCCCTCTGAATGTGTGACGTCAGCGCAGATATCTAATGATTTTTAAATGTTTGACTAAAACATTTTGTAGCACGCGGTGGTATATGCTGCTTTGCACGCAAGAAGTGCCGCACTTTCAGCTGCCAAACTATTGCTTCCAAATAAAGTCGCTAGGAACAGCGGAGATCCCAAAAAGTAAACAAAAGTAAAGGTCTAATATCTTGAAAACCGGTGAATATTTTTCGGTGAAATTTGGTAGATATTCGTTTTTGCTCTTTCTGAACCGAGCGACATCCCTTTCATGCCAATTCATAAACTTTTTTGAAGGTGGGAGGGTCCCTTTAATGACTGAGACAGATCCATATGCAGGGAGCTTCATATGGATAGATCTTTCCAGTCAGGCATTGGTTGTCTTCCATTCTCACTTGTTCAACTACCCTGTTTGGGGTTTCCTTGGTCTGAGAGTACCTATCCAATAAACAGAGGAATAGAGAGAAGGTTAGGAACCTGCATGGAAAGAGCTTGACCAGTGGATGACAACCAAATCACTTGAGAAATATAGCCTGCAAGTCACCAAGTATCAACAGATGAACCAAGAAACACATAAAAATACAAACAGCAATATCATTTCAGTTAGTAGCACAGTATCCAGTAGACATTCAAAGGAACATTAATTCAGTAATTTATGCACTCAGGATTGAAGCATGCATTTTAAAACTATAAGGAAGTATACAACTAAGAGGTCAAAGTGTACTTAAACAATACTATGGTACACAGTCAGAATACACCACTCTGAAACAGTTGTATAAAAAACAGCATGCTAAAACCCTGATCATTAGACAAACCTGAGGGGTGTTCACGGGCACCGCACACTGCTGCGTGCGGTGTGTGCGGTGCGTCCAGCAGGCGTGGGGGTAGGGGATGGGTAGGCGGCTCTGACGTCACGGCTGCGTGCGGTGGACGGGGCCAGTCCCGACCGGCCACAGCGATCGCTGTGTGCGGTGACGGAAGGCTGACGTAGGGACGCAGTGGGCGGAGCTTCGAGGCTGTGTGCGGTCCGACCGCACACAGGGTCCGTGAACAGCCCTCTGAACTTCCCAGGAATGACAGCGGCCAGTAGGTACAATAGTTGCGTCCAACCGCAAAATGTCAAATGACTAACATTTATTCAGGTTTCAAGTGATCATCTTATTTTCATTTGGGATGAAACTCAAAGAATCATTGATAAAACTCCCGATACCAATACAAAGGCATAAATATGTTAATAATATATGGGGAAAACGCTAAACCATTAGTCAGCTTTCCACACCTCATCAAACACTTACCACGGCTTCCTTTGTTAACTTTCCAGCATACAAAAAGTTTCCTTGAATTTCCAGTTCTTAAAAATTGTTCCTGCCTGAGCTTGCAATAAAACAACAACAGAAATCTATAAATTCGACACCGATTACAATTATCGGAAATTCACCCAGGGCGGAAACTCGCGCAACAAATTGTCGCAGTTTGTGACCTTTGACGTGATATGGTAGCAAATAACCCTTACCTCATCAAAAAAGAAAACTTCACTCTCTTGTACACAAGAATGTGATTTGCATTTTTCTACCTAATTTACGGCACAAACCTTGACCTAATTCTGTTAAAAGAATTAATTTTTATCTCATCAGCTGTCATTCTACTTAATAAAGGGAAGACATAGCTGAATTTCAATGAATTGTCTGACTCTGTTCAGTTGAAGTTTTCGTTCGTGCGTAAGAAGTAAATCATTTGCCGTAGTAACTTCGCTGAGGATGTGAGACAAAAATGTTATTGACACACAGTGAACGAATATGATGGAGTTGGATTGTAGCTACAATGCAATTGAATCTTTATTTCAATACCTACATCAAATAGATTCACTTTAGAAAGCCAAAAGCCTTTTCAAGTTCGCAGAAGGAAAGGCAAAAATTACTTCATATGGCACAAGTGATTGTTTTCAAATCAGGCGCATTGCCGGAGCTGCGTGCTGAAACTGGCGCTCTTGGAGAAAGCCGCGCCTGGCCGCCCCCCTCGCCTGCTGCGCGCCCTAACTCTTCAACAACAACAACAACAGCCCCCCTCGCGTGTTTTCGTTTCATGCATAGTGATTTCAATTTCAATTTATGATATTTTATTAGTTTGTCTAGTGTTATCACTTGTGTTATTTACTTAGTGAAATATAAGGAGGCATTCACTTTTTTTAGTAACGGCAAAACATGAGCTGATGCCTGCCTAGCTGAAACTAGAAGCTAGAACAAGAAGCGTGATCTGAGATAGGTACATTTTTCGATTTTCCTGCTTCCATTTGAGGCTGAAGTCCTTTTTTTAAGATATGGTGAGTTATTTAACATTTGGACACATGGCAAAAAATTATTGCCTCCTAAGTGGCATCAGTGTGTGACCATCATAACTACCTACCTCTGCTGCTGCACTTCAGGGGGACGCCGGTGGGGCTGACACTAGCTTTCATTTTATAAACAAGATCTACAAGTTTTGCCACTTAAACCCCTACCCTTTTTCCTAGGAATGCATTAGTTTACACTTGGTGTCTCATTACTCACCATCATCCATTGTATTACAATGCAGCCAGATATCATATCAACCAAACATCAACATTGGAAGAACCTGTAATAAATTGACACCGCGTTTGATGTCTCTCAGATGATGAAGATTCTATATCGTCTGGCCAGTCATGTTCCATAACCTCAGCCGAGTCTCCACTGATCTTTAACGGGATTGGCCAGACGACGTAGAATATTTGTCGTCAGGGAGACATTGAATGCGGGGTAAGTGTTTTGCTCAGGTCACACACAATTTGCATATGATTTACCTGCACTTGCAGTGTACAGTGTGTTGTAGTGTAGTGTGTAGTGTGTTACTGATGAGTGCTGTGGTCAACATCCAAAATCAACTGAAGTGTGTTTGGTTTTCAGTATTCCCTGCAATACAAAAAGGAGAATGCTCATGATGACTGCATCTGGAGCTGTGCCTGGGGACGCTACAAGCCCAAGCCAGCAGATGAGCAGCCACCAGCAGAGTGAGTCCATTTCAAAGCTAAGTCATTCAGCCCTGAAATGCCTCCTGTTTCTGAAGAAGTTGATTTGTACAACTGTTTGATTCCTCTTGAATATTTGTTGTTGAGATTGTCTCATCTTTGTAAGTGGAAATAAATGAGACTGGTTAATTACCTTTCTATTTTATTTCATATGATCTTTTCAGAGCTTGGCAAATCACATTTAGTATTTTAGAATAAGAAAGCCATTCGCCCACAGCCCAGCTGATATTTATGAAATCAGCATCTTCTAGTTACTGTGAAGTTCAGCCAAATGTCCACAGACACAATATCAGTCTATCATGCTTCTCAAACTGTCAGTTCAAAAGCTACCATCACCACTCATGTTTTACCTCCTACTGTCTTGTCCAGGGAGACAGCAGCGGATGGTGACGCACCGCCGGCGCCCAAACCCCGCCTCCTGCCTGCCGACTACATCCTGACCGGGTCGCTGGACGACACGGTCAAGGTGTGGGAGTGGAACGAGGGCCAGCTGGCCCTGCGGCACACGCTCGAAGGTCATGCCCTCGGCGTCGTCTCCGTGGATATCGCCGCTGATGGCAACGGTGAGAGCTCGCGACGAATGCGGAGGCTAGGCTGCTGGGTTGGGTCATGGCAGAGCAGGGGTTAAGCGTGGCTATGATTATCTGTGGTTGAATGGTTGTTTGCACACTTCTGTAGGTATTTCTCGGTTCTGTTGGTACTTCGTTCAGGGAACGTAGAAGCTAATGCATTTAGTTTCACCATTTAACGAAATTGTAGCAGGCGCCATGAATGAGCTTGCACTATATTTTACGTATCATACTTGTATCATACTTAGCGACGACGAAGCTCGCTGTGCCTCGCCGTCCTCTGCCGGTCCGCCGGGCCGGGGGCCGCCGTCGTGGGGCGTCGTGGCGCCGCCTGGCTCGTGAATAGGTAGTAAACACACTGGCGACAGGCAGCGAGCGGTGCGCCGGACGCTAAATTTATTGACGGATCACGGGGGTGACAGATGTCTGCTATGGGAGAGTGCCTGGTGATGTTTAGAATGTGTGTAGCATGCTCGAGTGTGAGCTGCTACCGTGCTGCTGGGTTGATGTGTGCTGATGGATGGGTGTTCCGATCAATAAACGTGAGGGAAAAAAAAAAGCTCGCTGTGCCGGTATCGTTGAATATCACCAATGTAACTTAACACCTCTGTTCTGCGTCCGTCCAGTGGCCGCGTCCAGCTCCCTGGACTCGACCATTCGGCTGTGGGACCTCGGCACCGGCGGTCTGCTGAAAACGATCGACGCCGGTCCGGTCGAGTCGTGGTCGGTCTGCTTCTCGCCCGACTCGAAAATGGTGGCCACCGGCTCCCACCAGGGCAAGATTGTGGTTTACGGCGTCGAGTCGGGCAAACAGGACCAGAGCTTCGACACTCGCGGAAAGTTCGCATTCAGCATAGCCTACGTGAGTGATGCGCGGGCTGCGGAGCCGTTAGCTGCCAGGACGAGTGGTATGCGACTTTCAGATGATATAGAAGTCGTATTATTTCACCAATGATACTGCTTTAGACGCTGCTCAGCTGCAGCTTGCTGTTCTTGTGCAATATTTGGCGATTGGTTACACATAAAGTGGGTGTTTTACATACACAATACTGATCTTTCGGTTTATTACGGAAAGTTACGGCTAAGCACCCAAAATAGACTCACCTATCTTAGCAATACGGTTACGGTCGTAGATAGCATGAGTCATGCTACGACCTACTTAATAAGCTTAGAGCACGGTCACATCGTACGGGCATCGATTGTTTTATTTCGTTATCAGCGCCTTAACTGGTCCACAAGGTCAATCACTCTCTTCCCCTGGCCGCAGAGCCCCGACGGCAAGTACCTAGCCAGTGGCGCCATTGACGGCATCATCAACATCTTCGACATCGAGACGGGCCGACGACTGCACACGCTCGAGGGACACGCTATGCCTATCCGGTCACTGGCGTTCTCACCCGACTCCAAACTGCTCCTCACAGCATCTGATGACGGTCACATCAAGATGTATGACGTGTAAGTGTGAAGCGGTGTGGTATTAAGTGTTTAGTGAGTTTTCCGTCGGCGTCGGGGGGAGGAAGGGGTCTTGGTACATTATGTGGTGGGTAATTTACGATAGATATTTTGTTTCGTGAACGTAACAGCCTACTTGCATCGACCTGTGGTCGCCAAGTAGCGACATAACTACAATATTCATTCAATATTCATCGTGTTTTCGTTCGGTCTGACGATTGTCTCTTCTACCAGTTATTTTTAGCAATTGTCGCGTCCATGGGATAGCTTCATTTTCCCATTAACACCTCCCTTTTCCACAGGAACAACGCTGCGCTGGCGGGCGCGCTGTCTGGCCACTCGTCGTGGGTGTTGTCGGTGCATTTCGCCGACGACCACAAACACTTTGTGTCTAGCAGCGCCGACAGCACGGTCAAGGTGTGGGAGACGGCCAGCAAGAACTGTTTGCACACATTCCAGGAGCACTCGGACCAGGTCAGTGGTTATATAGGGATGATATGGATGAGATAATCCTGGAATAGTGACTGTACCGCTCAACTGCAGAGGATAGTTATGGGTGACATGTGATCAAGTGTATGTGAATGTGTTTGTGCCGAATGAAATGACTACCTCCCCCTCTCGCTGCTCGCCCGCAGTCCCCTGTGACCGCCCGCCACCGTTTGACGGTCCACCCCGGCCCCGCCAGGTGTGGTGCTCCCGGTACAGCCCCGCCTCGGAGCGCATCGTCTCCGTCTCGGACGACCGCAGCGTCCACGTCTACAGCTGTCCGCCCTGAGTCCGCCCGTCTCCGGAGGCACGGACCTACACTCCGCCGCGCCGTCCTCCCGTCCCCGCCGGTGACCGGTCGGGGGCTCCGGAACACCGGCCGGCCGGCTGTGACCTTTCTACCGCCACCAGGGGCGCGCCAGCCCCGCGCCAGGGCGGCGGAGCCAGTGAAACCGCGACGTGTTGTTATTATGTTTGTATTGTGAACGGCCGACGGGATAAACATGATCACTGGCTGACTGGAATGTGGAAGACGCAGTAGCTGATTGTTAGTACGCAAAAGGCACTGCCATACTCGATATATATGATAACTAGCTACTCTGACACGGACTACTATCGGACTTAGACCAGTTCAGCCCATCACATACACAATCACAATACACTACTCAATAGATAAACTGGGATGAAATGCGAGCCTATACACTAATGTTAGCATGCAAGGATATGACACCAGTAAGTACTTCAGGGGATATAAAATACACCATAAGCGCTAGGAGGCAAATATACATGACTGACATACAGATATTGCAATTAGATTACACACGCTCAATATGGGACAATAGGTTCTCGGCTAAGATATATCAAGATCAAGACATCACACAGCACAGATGGCAGCACGGATTCAAGGCACGCACTGACGCACGAGATATACCCATTTATCCACCATTTGATCCACGGGGGTCCTTTGTCAGACCTTCACGCACGACAGCACATCAGACTGCAAGAGCTGCTTGCTTTAAGGAGTTTCCAACTCCGCATTGACATACGCTCGTAACACATTACGAAGGCGCGCTTTTGTACAGCCTTCGTCGTGGCGCAGGCCGGTCGAAACGGACACTGGCAACGTCCGTAATTCACTCTGACTGGACGAGAGTCATTCGGGACGGAGGGAGAACATCTCGATCAGATGCCGGCAGGAGTCTCAGCCTGATAGAAGCAGCTTAGTCGTGGTACTCGGCTGCAGGGAGCCTCGCATGGGAGGGCTGCCTCGGGATGTCTCAGGCCTAGGGCGCTCGGTCACATGCCGTTTCAGACGACGTCCGCTGAATCACGTCCCGTCTCACACCATCACGTTTCGCGGCACGTGCTGCCGCGTGTCGCGCTCGGTCCGCTGCGACTCCCACCAAGTGGCCACCCGGTCGAAGCCCTGGCCGACGGTGCTGGAGACCTTGTCCGCCACGTCCGAGGCGGTCACGGATACCTGCGGGGACACGAGGGTCACAGGGGAGGTGAGGGACTGCTCCAGGTTTGACAAGCAATGGTTTATGTCTTTGTGATGAGTGTGGGTGCGGCCGAGGCACCAACCAAAATGACATGGATAGATACTTACGGAGCCGCAGGTGGGATCATGGAGGTGAGTGGTATCTGATGTAATGTGTGACCACTCATCACACGGAAGGCGTAGACTCGGTTAGATAAAAGATTACGGCAGCTGATCTGCTAGGCCCACAAAGACTTCTAACCATACACCAGCCCAGTCTCCGCGAACGTCTTAGTGAACAGTGGAAACGCTGATTACCAGCACCGGGTAATCGGACGTCACATTTAGACGGCAGGTGGAGCCACCAACCCCTCCAAGCCCCGCGGGCACTCCATGTGAGATAATTATGGCGTCCAACAGCCCATGACAATTACCCGTCTTTGGTGAAAGCCGAAAGCCATTGGTTACTCTGAGGCGCTGCGTTACCTAACGGCAATTAGACCGAGCCTGTGGGCGGGAGAGCGCGGTATCCACATCCTGCGGTGGTCTGCTTCTCTCACCTTCCGCTGCACCTCGCGCCAGTTTTCCGGGGAGGTGACCTTGGCCCACAGCGTGTCCGAGTCGGGTCGCTCCCAGGCCTCGACGCGCTGCTGGTCCAGGCTGGCCAGCCGCGGGAAGTACGTCAGCACCATGATCCTGCCGAACGCACCGTCATCGGTCAGACCGACTGAAGATTTCCTGCGCCAGAACGCAGACAGCGAAAACGCTGTACTCTGATGTGCTAGCAAGGACTCTCTATGATGGGTATAACAGGCAGCCGGTCACCGAAACAGCCTTGAGTATGTATAGTTCATAATAGTTCAAATAGTTGGGCTAGCTGTCATGTGCATTGAGCATACGTGAAACACGCAAACGCTTGTAAAATCGCAGGCATCGGGAACAACAGCACGCCTGTATTTTACCAAAAAGAGACACGGTAGCACTATTATCCGGACACAAAAATGAGGCCACCTCCGTGTAAAACATCAAAACGGAGAGTCGTACCACTGGGACATGCCGCCACCTGTTATCAGTGACCTGTTGCCACCTGTTACCACCTGTTATCAGGAAGCGTGTTGGGTAAGGACAGCATTATCCACGTTGGGCACGAAACAATCTACCACGATGATAAATATATAAACCCGTTAAAAAACGGCATATCTTGAATGCTTAACCCGGCAGTTGCTGGGGTATTTCGCCACCCACCATTTGCTGGGGGGGGGGGGGGCGTTAAACGCCCCCAGCCGATAACTCGAGAACCAATAGGCGCAGCGAAACGCACGAGGCGGCAAACGAAGGAGCGCGACGAGACGCTTCAGATGAGTACTTAAAAGTTGAATTGTGAGGTCACAGGTCGGGTCAAGGTCAGGTCAAACACCTGAAATCGGGCTTTCAGTAGCATGGACTTCAGGACTTCGCAATGGGCGCCTCTCGTCACAAACTCTGTCAAAACGGTGCACAATCCATCATATAAGGCCTACAAGAGTGTCAGCTCCATGTAGGGGTCAGTCAAGCATAGGTCAGGGTCAAGGTCAGGTCAAACGGGTAGGCACATATCCCCGAAAATCAAAACTGATATTCGCAACCTGTGACACATGTTTTATAGGTAATTTGGGGCGTAGAACACGATGGTGACATTCATTTTATCATATGTGTACGTGTTTGGCTCAAAAAGTTGAATTTAAGAAATGCATGTATCATGGTCGTGAAGTAGTCACGAAAAATTGCCAAGATTCAGTTCAAGATTATGGAAAATGCGGAACGATAATCAATAATCGAAGATAGCCATTTGATTGATCATGGTATTGGCAGTCTAATGGCGTTTACGGCATGTCTGTATGTCTATTCTGTGATTTTATATGATTTTTTGAACATATACCGTTTTTGGTCGAAAACTCAGAAATCATGACGTCACTTAAAACTCGATATCTCAAAAATTTTCCGACCGATTTTTTTTTAAACTTTGTCACAATAACCTTCAATCAATTCCCTACAGGTACCCAAAATTTGGCGCGCCTGCGGCGCTTTTATGCTATGGCCCGGCGAAAAAAGTGGGGGCGTTTAACGCCCCCCCCCCCCCCCCCAGCAACTCGCGGGTTAACAGTGCTGAGGCCTCTTGCACCAAAATCCTCTTGCACCAATGCTTGGATTATTTTGCATCGTATACCCAGTCCAAGTCTCAAATGTAACAATTTGTGTGCAAAATTTAGCAAGCACATGTAGGACTATGTAGTGGGCTATTGCAAACAAATTTACCACCGTTAGATTAGCTTATTCTGTAACCGGTTTTCCGATTTTACCTAGCTAGGTAGTTTGGTGCAAGAGGTCTCTGAGCGAACTAACTTAACTAATAAATAAATCATTATCCGAGAAAGGGCTAGGAATCTAACCAATGATCATTCTTTACAAACCTGTCAGGCGCCGGGCTAGGACCATTTTTTTTTTTTGTCTCATAAAACCGGTTGAGCGATCATCCAGAAGACTGACAGAGCAAGTGAAGGCCGGTCAGGTGATGCGAATGCCGCGCAAAGGGTCGCCGGTACCTACGAGCTGACAGCGCGCACACAGCAATAAGAATACCGCGGAGAAGCCTCAGCACAGAGCGAGGTTAAACCCAACACCTGGGGTCAGCAAGGCCGGGTGGGGCGACTGTTCCGTCGTTGCGTAATTCGGAGTCGGGGACGGACGTATTGGTATGCTTCAAGCGGGGTACTCGTTGACTACTGTCAGCCACAAGGTCAAACAACAGGCTCAGGTCCGGCTAAATGGCTAGTAAATTCTGCTGCAGTCGCGGCCACCCGCAGGCGCACGTAAACACAGCGCGGCACGCATCGGCAGGCGACTGCTGCGCCGAGCGAACGCAGACACGGACTAGTCAAGGACAGCGAATCCCTAAAAGGTTAACTTACCTTCAGCGTGTGCAGTGTGCAGGTGTGTTTGCGTGGAATGGAAACCAGTCCAGCTGTTTAAATATAGCTACACTGAGCAGGAAGTTTGTGAAAAAATACAAAAGGAAACTACACACTCGCGACAAATAGCCGTCCACACATAATAGCCGTCCTTCCACTATAAAAAGCCGCCCCCCCCCCCCCCGCCACTCCACAACAGTCGGCGCCGCTATTGCTCATCTGCTCATCACTTATCACACGAGGTAAGGCTGGGCCTTTGGGTACGGCGATCACTGACCTGTACCGATAGAGGTCACCCCGCGACGATCCGCCCACCAGCGACGGTACGCTCGGGTTGCCGATCATACTCAGGTGCCGGATGTTCGGGCAGTTGTAGCGCAGCGCCCGCAGGAACGGCTGTAGATCTGCGGTCAGGGAAAAGGGGAGGTAATGTCAGTCGGTGCCGCACTAAATGACCACGTGGGAGTGTCGCTAGCCAGGCGATGATAAACGACAGTTTAACTCAAACATTTACGCAGACAAATAGCTGTTCAGTTCTCAGGTGCCTGGTAGGAAGACAATGTTCAACTATCATGTGCTTGTTTAAAGTGGTTCTCCCTGGCCAGTGGCCATTGAATTAGCTTTGTGTGTCTGGTACTTTTGTGGCCTGCGTCCTACTTACAAACGAAGACAATCAACCTTTTTTTATAAATTTTGTCCGAACCTTTTGATGGGAAGGATTCACAAGGACAGAACCACCGCTAAGCGAAGCTTGTTGCGATGACCCTGCCCTCTACCCTCCGATCGCGCAATTCCGATTCTATGGCAGAATTTAGAGTCCAAAGTTTAACGTGCGCACAAAGCCGCGCACGGCCGGTCCCCTCGCTGACTTCGCCTGGCTACGGCCTGCCACCAACCGCAACCATACCTGTCAGGAGGCCCATAAATGTCGAGCGCCCGTCGCGCTTCGAACCCGGACTGTTATAACCGGGAACGCGTGCTCTCACCACGCGGAGTCCAACGCTCTAACCAACTGAGCTACGGGACCGGCGAAACCTAAAGCTTTTGTTTAAACAACGTCCACGTGGAACGCGATAGGAAGCAGATACGTAAACACAAAGCTATCGCTCAGAAAAGAAAAGAAAGACATGCTATCAACACTATACCACAACCTCCAGCCTCACTTTCTCCTCAGTCAGACTGCAGGTAGCATTCGTTCGTGACATTTGTCGACCCCCTATCGCGCGTCACAGAGCCCCGTATCAGACTGACCCTTGATCTTGTTGTGGTTGATCCAGAGCGTGGTGAGATGCGGCATTGGAGGCGGCAGGCTATGCGAAATCAGACGGTTGTGGTCCAGTACCAGTGTGGCCAGGCGCTCGAACCGCACCAGAAACTGCAGATTACTGCAAACAGAGCGACAGACACGATGTAAGACGACAGCCGATACTCGACCGAGTGTTTATCCGAATAACATCCGCCCCGGGTACGGGCTGTGCCGAGCGAATGGCACGCGGTCCTATGTACATACAAATGGGCGCTCGATGCCGATCTGTCTTTGTGAACCGCATGTCTCTGATTTTCAGACTGCGTCTGCGGAAAACGTTCTTAGTATTTGTAGAATACGCCTTCCGTACATCAAGACTGAGTACGGAAGGCGCCGCTTCTTTTACCGAACGGCCGACGCGTTTAACCGACTCCCTGCCTCTGTTACCATCTGTCGCATCGGAGCCTTCAAAAGACGCCTTCGTGGCCATTTAGTGGGTACTGGAGCCTGGAGGCAACAGATCTGTTGTCGAGTGATGGTGGATTAGGGTCAGAGTGGATGGGAAGCTTGGTTGCGATTGTGTGAACCTACCATCAGCCCAATGTGACTCGAGTCATGAAAAACCAGTGTATACATATGGACTGGATGTACTTTCGAAAATACAGATACAGATACAGATACAGAATATAGGATACATTCACAATCACAATACTGGAAGCATTTAGGATACCAGAAACATTTAAAATAGGAATCAAATGTGTAGGGCAAGGATAGAAACTGTACACTCTTCTTTGGCACAGTACCTAATACTGCATAAGCAGGATGGTTCCGAAATACATTCAGTGGGTGTATGTAAGGTGGCATTGGTGAGCGATATCAAATGCCATCCGCAGCGGGGCTGAAACCGGCTGGACCGGTGTCGCAGCGATGTCAAGCCGGGTAATCATTGAAACACAATGGCGGATCCAGCCCATATGTTTCGGTGGGAGAGGTCAGAGGGAGTTAAACAATGCATTTCAGCGCGTTTCTGCACTGTCGGAGGTAAAGTGTCAAACTTAGGTCGTTATTTAAGTTAAAGAAGGAAAAAGAATGCATCCAAGACGTATTCATGGCCAGGCCCACTGGCACCGTAACATCAGCGTAACAGGCGGAAAATGACCGAACCATCAAGACTGTGCTGTCAAGCGGTGCCAGAACTCTCACATTAGTCGAGCTACAGAAGCCTTATCCAGCCCCCCCCCCCGTGACTCACCTAATCCCACCCAGTCCCGGCCTCCGGGAACCCAGCTCCGGCCTCCGGGGACCCGACTTCGGCCTCCACTAAAACCATCCACACCAGGAATGTGGGCCGCTTCGGTTTATTCGAAACCCATCCCCTAGGGCGCCAATGTCCGTCCGGATTAGATGAGTGCAAGATAACAGTCGCACTCATAGCCATTAAGAAACGACTGCTGTCGGAGAGCTAGCCCTGTCGCATACACTCGCCGACATGACTTTCCTCTCAGTTTTCAATGCAGGTGGGTTCAAAACGCCAGCAACGGTGCGGCGCGGACACCTAACCTCGTAAACCGGTAGAGGTCACACGACGCAGGGGATTGCTGCAAAACGGCGTACCAGAGAAGAGGAGAGGTGAGGAGAGAGAGCACGCGGCACATCAGCCATGTCGTCATTGCACTACAGGTCAACTGCAGCGATATGGGACTGGGGGGGGGGGGGGGGGAGCCAATACGGAGATGGGGATCGGCTGTCGCTCAGCTTTCTACTCCCTACAAACTGAAGGAATCTGTTAATGAGGCAGATCATGGGAACAACAACCCTAAGGGGACGTCGATATGTGATGAGGCTATTGATAACACCAAACGGCTTCCAGGCGACGCATCCAAACGACTTCTCGAAAAGGTTCTGCCCGACGGACACAAACAAGCTGGCGTTGGGCTCTCCCCTCCGCCTCAGGCGTAATGGCAGATTTCACAACATGCCCCTTGGTTTGATTGATCTCCCAATGTCCCAATCATGTGCCGGGCCGTGAGGTAGGATCGAGCGCAAGCCACGCAGCGTTTGCTATGATAAAATATGCTAATGTATGGCCGACGGCGGCTACAGGGAGAAGACACCTATGCACAGAATACGGTAATGGCAGGCGCGGATACAAGGGGGGGGCATGGGGGCCATGGCCCCCCCCCCCTTGGCCGATTTTTTTCAAAAATAAAATAAAAAGTTAAAAAGTTAAAAAGCTGAAAAGGGGGCCTCCTGAAAATAAAGTGGCCGAAATCCGATGAGTTTTTTTTTAACCTACCCACTTAGTTATTTCTTAGAAGACTAGCTGAGAAGACTTCTTTGTTAGAAGATTGGTAAAGCTTTTCATAACTTGGAGGTCTCTTATACTCACAGAGATGACCACTTTTACAGGGCCTCCTAACCTGCACAGAGGGCCTCCAAGCCTGCACAGATGTTGAGATGTTGCCTGAACAGCTAGATAAGCTCAATAGACGCAGTTTTTTTGGGGGGGCCAACAAGTGGGAAGATGGGGCCTCCAACAGGTGGGATTATGGGGGGGGGGCCTCCTGGTTTCTAATGGCCCCTCCTTGGAGATTTTCTGGATCCGCCCCTGGGTAATGGCATACCCGTTATCGAACTAATGGACCTATGCACAAGCTTATGGTTCTCTTCAAAGTCAAACTGTTGACCAAATACGCAGCATCATTCATCTGAAAAGTTAAACAAACCATTGAGCTCGGGAACGACAATATAACCACGTTGTAATTGCCGTCATATGGACCTCTGAAGACTGGTATCATGACGTGTTATAACTGTTAGATAAGGGGGCAGCAGGACTCACCTGATCTTGTTGTGACTGAGGTCCAGGTAATTGATGGTGGCGCCATGCTGGTCGGCCACGTAATTTGATACGTCGCGCAGATCCCGGTAGGCCAGGCTGAGCGCCTTCTGGTCGGCGCCCTGCGCCGGCTCGTGGCGAAACTCGGCGGCGTCACCCATCTCTCTGCCCCGGGGCACGGCTTCCTCCGGCGGATCGGCTCGCAGCGACGGCAGCTGCAGCACAGTGGCGCTGGCACCGGCGGCCGCCAACATGTAAACACTGTCCTCGGCGGTCAGCATGGCGGCGGCGGTCAGGGGCGCACACAGGGAGGCCGACGGCGGCGGCCGGCGCGGTGCTGCCGCCGTGCCCGCTCCAGCGCCACCAAGGTCCCGGCGGCGACTGGACCGGCGCACTATGGTTGGAAACGGCCTCACGGATGGCCGTGGGCAATTTCGGAATATATGTATATTTGGGGTGTCATTCTGTTGGAAATTGATGAAATGTTTTGAATAGGGCAAAAAAATTTATTTAGTTGCACATTTAGTCTCCATTATTGTACGTGGAATCGGGAGTTTCTGATAGTGGCTTTTTTGGTGCGCCGTCAAAGGTTTAAACAACCGCGCTGGTGATAGCATGTGGAGTACCTCCATGACGTTGTAAAACTGGATTATTATGTATCAAAATAATCCTTGTTATGTTGGCTATCGAGTGGAGTGACTCTTTTTCCCATGCGTGTTCAAAATCAGGAACGGCATTGCATTCTGTTTGCAGTGTCACCACAGCAATATTTGCAAAATTACGTTTATGTTTCATTGGACATACAAAAAGTTCTCCATCGACCTCCATTGAGCTTTTTGGCAGAATAAATCTCTGTTCAATTCTGCGTAAGGGGAACGTAAAAGCAGACTGCGCACTTGTGCGCAAAATCGTCCGTGAAGCTTCATCTCCCGAGGCGTACCTACCCGTCGCTTCGTTAGCACCAGGTCGGCTCGTCAGTCTTGCAATCGCTTATCCTTATAAATGATGGTAAGAAGCAGGGTTGCGGAGTCGTGGTGGCGCCAAATCCGACTCCGACTACGACTCCGACTCCTGACTCGTTGCCATGACTCCAGCCAACTCTGTCTCCGACTCCGGACCCCTGCCAGTGTTTCGGAGTCGTGATGGAGCTGTTCCGATTCGGACCGACTCCGACTTCCACTGCGGGCTCCTGACCGACCCCGACTCCGACTCCTGGCTCGTTGCCACGACTCTGGGCGACTCTGACTCCGACTCCGACTCTGACTCCGACTCTGACTTCGACTCCGCACCCCTCGTAAGAAGTAACTGCTCGCCCCTGCACCTGGAGTATGGATATCGTGCAAACGTGTATGGATATCCTGGAGTATGGATATGGATATCCACCGACAGAGCAGACATACAGACATGCTGTAAACGCCATTACACTGCCAATACCATGGCAAATCAAATGGCTATCTATGGTTTTTGATCATCGTTCTACATTTTCCAAAATCTTGAACTGAATGTTGGCAATTTCTCGTGGTTAGGTACTTCACGACCATGATGCATGCATTTCTGAAATTGATCTTTTTTCAACCAGCCACGTACTCGTATGATAAAATGAATGTCACCATCGTGTTCTACGCCCAAAAGTACCCATAAAACATGTGTCATGCATGGGCTGCGAATAGGTACCAGTTTTAATTTTCGGGGTTATGTGCTTACCTGATTGACCTGACTTTGACCCTGGCCAGTGGCCTATGTTTGACTGACCCCTACATTGATCTGACACTCTTTTAGCACTTATATGAAGGGTTGTGACAGTTGTGACAGCTGTGACAGATTGTTTAGGACCAACTGATGACTGAATTTATTTAGGACCAACTGATGACGATGTAATCGAAACGCGAAACGCGAGGCACCGATTGCGAGGTTCTAAAGTCCATGCTACTGAAAGCCCGATTTCAAGTGTTTGACCTGACCTTGACCCGACCTGTGACCTCGAAATTCAACTTTAAAGTATTCATGTGAATCGTCTCGTCGCGTTCTTCTTTCGTTTGCCGCGCCTCGTGCGTTTCGCTGCGCCTATTTGTTCGCGAGTTATCGGCTGGGGGCGTTGAACGCCCCCCCCCCCCCGGCAAACGGCGGATGGGGAAATACCCCAGCAACTACCGGGTTAATCTGACGCATGTTTTGTCATTTGATCGTCATTTTATTTCTTACTTTTTTGCCCAATCTAAAAAAATCATAAATACTCTTTCTCCAAATTTTTGACCCTTTATGACCAATAGTAAGACACTGTGCGTCACTACGTTGATATTTCTCGCCCTAAAGCATAACAACAATATCCATTCAGTAAAAGCAGTATTCAAAACATGTTCAAAATGCCTCGCGATATCGATAACATAACGAAAGACATAGGCGACTTATAACATACTTGCAATGATGACGTCACACACGCGTGACGTGACGTGACCTCGTCATTTCTGAGTTACTGTATGATGCACGAAAGACACTGGTATACCTATGCAAAGTTTCATCGCAGTCGGTCTACGCATTAACAAGTTATGGGCAAAACATTTTTTCGCGTTGACCCCCGGCCATCCGTGAGGCCGTTTCCAACCATAGTGCGGCGGCTGGAGCGGACCGGACAGAGGAGCGGGACGGGGCTGGGGCCTGGAACTAGCCACCGGTTATGTAACCGTCGCACAGTCGCCGACACCGATTGGATGCTAGCTCGGACCAATGGAGGGGAGGGCTGCATACAGAAAGGTTGCAGACGCAGAAAGGTGGCGTACGGCGTACCAAGCTGATGCGTGAAAAATATAGATTATGATATCATAAAAAACGCTTATTAGGGGTGATACAAAAAAGAGTCATTGACATTAATCGGAGTCGGGGTCTCTGTCTCCGACACCGACAGCTGTCAATGCACTGACATGGCCTATGGGCGCAATCCTGGGTTACTTGTAACCACGCCGGTAAAGAGGGATAAATTGATGCACTGCTTCCTCTGCGTTTCTGAGCTGAATGCCGCACGGGTTGTACGAGCCCGCTAAAATTTCAGCATTCTATAGGGGAGAACCGTCCAAAACGCCCCCTTAACACTGTGTGTCACCGCTACACTGGTTATTTCACCATGCGTCATCAGGTATTTTAGGTCTTATCTTTCGACTATTGAGCAAAATAATGCGCAAGGCACTCGGATGTTGCATTCCGGCAAGAATGAGCTTTTGCAAGACCTCTGCAAACGGGGCCTTTTTTGTACATTACAGGTATTGTAAAACGCCCCACTTTGGCTGTCACCTGTTGATGACTTTCGTTTGCACAAATATTTTTTTAATACATTAGTCCGAACCTATTGAATGGAAGGATTCACAAGGACAGAGCCCACGTTAAACGAAGCTTGTTGCGTTGACCCTGCCCTCTACCCTCCGATCGCGCAATGCCGGTTCTATGGCAGAATCTGGAGTCCAAATTTTAACGTGCGCACATAGCCGCGCACGGCCGGTCCCCTCACTGACTTCGCCTGGCTATGGCCTGCCATCTACCGCAACCATACCTGTCAGGAGGCCCATAAACGTCAAGCGCCCGTCGCGCTTCATACCCGTACTGATGTAACCGGGAACGCGTGCTCTCACCACGCGGAGTCCAACGCTCTACCGACTGAGCTACGGGACCGGCGCGGCGGCATATACTGTGTACTGTTTAATAAATCTAAGTGTTTTGCTGAGGTTACACACAGTTTACATATGACTTACCTGCGTTTAATATTGCATTTAATATTGCATTTACCTAATACTTCGTTTTTAACCGTACTATTCTACTGTTTAGGTATGTAAGTAGAATCGTATTAAGGTCAGTAGCATGGCCTTCGGAAAATATAGTTAGATGGAGTACCGTTTCGAAAACAAACGATACTTCAGCATTTACAAGCAAAGTTACCTATCTCGCTCAATAAACTGACCCATTGCAAAAAAAAAAACACCGTTTCCAATATTTTTGTCACCTCTTTACGCGACAGCAACAATGCATCGCAATGCATTGCGAATGCCACTTTTGGAATGTAAGACATTTTTACATGTAAAAATGGTATGGGCGGGCGTTTTAGAAACCAGGTGCCGGGGCGTTTTGCGCTGCCTCTGTGTGGCGACATATCTGATAAAGCAGCAAACATGGAACAGTCATTTCGCACTACCTTTGGAAGACAATGAACTAGTCTTGCTTACCGAAGCATCTCAGATCAAAGTGACAACTGAACAGCGAATTAATGTCGTTTTATGACAGATATTTTTAAGGAATCTCGTAAAATCATGTTTTTGGCAATAAAATCAGCCCAATGATAATGGCGCCCACCAAACTTCATCAGCATTTTGCCTCCACAGGGCACAGCACCATGTTTCACCTGTGATGTTTATAAAAGGAAGGAAACAATTGTGTCATAAATAAGGGGATGAGCGTTTTACCTACCCTGGGCGTTTTACACGGTTCTTCCCTAAGCATTTTCGCATATGTTCTGGTGACAACATCAACGGGTCATGTGAGGACATCGGCGCATGAAACGACATTCGAAGACCGGCAAAAAAAAAAAGAAGGCGAGGCGAAAGACCGATATCCAAACTATTGGTGACGATGACGACCTGAGGGTAAAGTCTGCTCATCTGAGATAGAGAGTCAGAGACTAGAACGATTTGCTATTGTTCTTTTTTTTTTTTTAGCTGCCCCGTCGCTTCAATGGGAATAACGGCACCCTGCTTGAGCCGAGACCACAAATCGAAGGCCAGAAGCTTCGATGCGGAGAAAAGTTGCTCGGTTCGAAGGGGCCAAATTACACTTGGTCTCTAGGACTGGGACCAAATTATGAGGTAAGGTCGCATTCTTATTTTATCAATGCCAAATCAAACCAACGCAAAATATACGTTAAAATAATTATTTACGTCCGGCACGCGTTTGAGCTATTACCACTATCACGGGCAAGCTAGTAGCTACGGCTCATATTCCAATGCACATTCCTGGAGTTGGAGTTGAAGCAGCTTGAACAACTTCTGGCTCGTTACCACGACTCCGGGCGAGTCCCACTCCGAGTCCGGCTATCTTTCTAGTTGAGGGTTATTTGCCATTGGGTCTACAGTGCAGGAATATTTCTATCTCGCACTCCACTGAGATGCAAAGATAAGGTCTCGAGGGTTCATAGCTAAAAATCAAGAGTTCAAGTGATGATGGGTCAATAATCGAACCATTTTTTAACGGTTGTTTGTGTGTGAAACTTATGAAATATTAAAACAAAGTACTCTAAATCTATTTTTCCATAGATGAGAACATTTAAAATATAATAATAATGTTGAATTATAATAATAATAAACCTCAACGTAGAAAGATATATGATTCCTCATGACTCACTCGTGGAAGATCGGATATCTTTTCTTCGCGTGTTTCAGAAAAACCTCGCTCCCTCCTTCGTCGCTCGGTTCTTCAGTAACCCGCTTGGAAAAAATATCCTTATCTTCCACTCGGAGCCATGAAGAATCCTCTATACCTATATCATGGATGACCTATATCATCCAGACAGTGTTCTGGGGTCTTGGACGCTCTCCCATGTTTGAGCATCCGAACAAGTTGATGTTTCCATGGAAAAAAACAATGCCACAATATGTGCAGCACATTGTAGAGTCGTACCGTGAAAAGGTCGGAAGTTTCCTGGCCACAGAAATCTGCGGAGCGGTGTGTTCGAGGCTAGCAGGCGTCAGCGTTAGCAGGCGTCAGCGAGGGCCGGGCAGCGTAGCAGCACGTGTTTCAGCACATCAGCCTCTTTTCGGTACACAGTGCAGAGCACCGCGGGGCACCGCTTGTCTGGGCACTGCTAGCACGCCGTGGAGGGGAGACGGCCAATTCCGGATTCGGTGCACGCACTGGAACGAGCAGCCCCAGTGGCCCACTGTCATCTTGTGCACCGAAATGGCGTCCTCTTGGTCCTCCCCAGGGATGGGGAGTGGCAGCGTGCTCCCGAAGAGTGGCTTAAATAATGACTCGGACCAGTTGTCATGCCATTGACGTGAGGCCGCAGGCGCACAATGAAAAATTCAGCGGCCAGCATGCGCTGAATTTGGTGCATATGAAGTTATGCTGGACAAGCACTTAAATTTTTGGCACATACCCGCCACTACGCCGAACACTCTGCACAGCACAGCGTGTATTTTTTCCAGCCTGGTCGTAGCATGAGTTCTGACGTCACTGATGTGTGCCATCAGCATCTCAATTTAGACACTACTTGTTGTAGATTTACATGCCACAATAGTCGAAAGATTTATAACATTACAATATATTCGTTGCTACCTTCCCATCTGATTTATTATTGGTTTTAAAGGTTCTAGGTTCTATATTGTGTTCAACACTATGAGCCTTGAAAATCAAGCAAATGATCTACAGCTTACCTCGGTACCTAATACAAATTGAAATTGAATGAAATAATTGACAACTTAAACACTGAAAAGTGATAAAAATTGCGCAAAATTAACGTGAAACTCGTAAAACTATTCACGCAATATTTCCTTATATTGAGACTAAAGTGGCGCAATCTTACTCAAATAGTTTCACGCGGCTTGGATTTTATCGTCACAAAACCCACTTCACTTTGCATGGGGCTACTGCCATAAAATCGATTTTTTTATCCATTCATTCATTCATTCGTTTATTGACCTTGGGTATCGGGGGGGGGGGGGAGAGACACAAACGCGAACATGGCACATTAAAACGATGCAAGCAAGACAGGATAAAATACATTAAAAACAACCCTCAGTCCATCAATGATCTCTAGCGATTCGGCGCGGCGCGGGCTAACCGCCCGTGGGACCTCGGAAGTCGGAACCATCTCGACTCCGGGCCTAGATATTTGTAAGCAACATATAACGCGCAATCGGCAATCGATGAGTACAGACGAAACGTTCGGCAAACGGCGGACACTACTTGAAGGCTCTAAGGACGTCGTAACAGAGTTTCGGGGCATTAACATTCGTGCACATTGATAGAACGTCGGGGAGGGAATCGGCCTCGTTAAAGCTTGAGACGTTGCGTGTCAGCCTACATTGTCGTATGACATGATCCTCATCCTGTACGAACGGACCACACGAACATAGGCGTAGGTCTCTCGGCGTGTGAGACCATCTCCCCGTCTCGACCCGGAGGCGGTGTGAGCCCAGCCTGAGGCGAGAGAACGCCAGCCGGTGTGGTTCGAATGTGTGCGAGTGTGAAGACGTTTTTGTTTGGTAGATAATTTGCGCATCTAGTGAGGGATTTATCGATTTGTACGCGACTGCTCTGGAGTTTGTCGCACCCCTGATGCGCGCCTTCACCTCGGATAGAGCGGCCACGGGTGAGCTCAGGTGCGGGGAGCCCAGAAGCTTCTCAATATACTGGCCCATGGGGCAGGCATGCACGCGCGCGAGCTCGATGGCCTTCTGCACAGGGCTACCCTCAAAGTGTGTGCTGGCTTGGAGCTTCATCAGAAAGTTTCGCTGCATCTGGCCTACCCTAGCAGAGAGAGGTGGGATGCCGGTCTCGACATAAATCAGATCAGACGGGGTCTGATACCGTACCCCGACCAGATCCTTCAGCGTGTGCTGGTACATCTGATCCACCGGCTTAAGGGAGTCCGTCATCCACGTCTCGCAGCTGTACAGAATGCTGGCGTTAAGAGCGCTGTCCCACACGGCCTTCTTTACGGTGAACGGGGCCTCATTGTTCTTCCGGAGAAAACTGCGGAACTTCCTAACCTGACACTGCTTTAGCTCCATCTGCTCGCTGACCTGTTTGTGAATCGAGGCGTTCGAAATCGGAGAGCCGAGGTACACGTATGATTTGGTATGCTGGATGGCAATGTTGTGAACCACGAGTGGCTCTGTGTCTCTAGTGTGTACCGTCATGAATTTGGACTTATCTGGATGTAGCTGCATGTTCAGCTCGTTACAAGTGCTGATGAGAATGTCTAATTTACGTAGCATGTTGCAGCGGGAGGTCGCAAAAATTACAGTGTCATCCATCAGTAGCAGAGAGTGGAGGTTTCCTAAGAATCCATCGGGACCCAGCTCTTTCAATTTTCTGATCGAATCGTTAATATAAAACGTGAACAGGGAGCAGCTAGTCAGACCACCCTGTCTAACACCCGTAGTGGCTCGGAAACTATCATCCCCTATCATGTTTATGGTCTGGTTAAGAGTCTGTGTGATTGCTCGAAGATATCTGAGACCGCAACCGGCCGCTGCAAGTTTATCGACCAGCAACTGTCTGTTCACCTTATCGTAAGCGGTGCGGTAGTCTACGAACACAATATACAAGGTTTGTTTGGATTTTCTTGCGATGTCGATCAAAAGGCGAAGGGTCAGAAGCTGCTCTTGGCAGCCTCTTCCCGCCTGCGCCCCCGCCTGCTCTACATCCGGTTTAAACCATAAGTTAAAACGCTCTGAGAGAATGCCGTCGTACACTTTATACATGGCGTCAAGTGTTATAACGTGAGCTCTTTATTCACAACCAAAGCCGCATTGCGTTAAACCTCCTAGAGCGCCAAACACCGATCGCTACTACCACAACCGCGCTCCGCGCGGGCCGGCGGCCGACTGCTCTCGAACCCCGCGTCTGCGCGCCGGCGCCGCCAATGGCGTCGCCAGGCCCCCGGGCAGGGGGGAGCAACTGGCGTCGCCAGGCCCCGGGGCAGGGGGGGAGCAGCTCGCGACACCACACCCTGCCGCCCTTAAAACGGAACACATTCACTTTGACCTGCCGCCCTTAAAACGGAACACATTTTAAACCGGAACGTGGAAACAAACACATTACGCGTCGGAACGTGGAAACAAACACATTACGCGTCGGAACGTGGAAACAAACACATTACGCGTCGGAACGTGGAAACAAACACATTTTAAACCTCGGCGATCAGTCGCCTCGGGCACCTCCGGCGCCGAGCGGAACGGCGTTGCGAGGGGCCCTCAGTGTCCCCGCCGCCCCTGCCGCCGCCGTCACCGCCACCGCCGGTGTGACTGTAGCCGCTGAGGTCACCGGTATCACCGCCGCCGCCGAGGTCACCGGCACTACCGCCGCTGCTGACGGCATCACCGCCGCCGCTGAGGTCACCGGCACTACCGCCGCCGCCGGGGTCACCAGCACGGCCGTAGCCACCGGGGTCACCGGCATCCCCGCCGCCGCCGAGATCACCGGCACGGCCGAGGCCGACTGCTCCCCGGTCACAGGCCTGACCGGCGACGCCGGCGCGGCTGCCGTCACCGAGGCCATTGGCGCGATCGTCTCCGACAGGGCGCCCGGCGCTGCCGCCGGCGCCACCAGCCCGGTCACCGCCGGTCGTCGCTCTGACGTCACCGCCGGTCGTCGCTCTGACGTCACCGCCGGTCGTCGCTCTGACGTCACCGCCGGTCGTCGCTCTGACGTCACCGCCGGTCGTCGCTCTGACGTTACCGCCGGCGCTGTTCCCTGGGTCCGCCGCCGCCGCCAACAGCTGGTCAACGTGGCGCGACCAGATCACGTGTCCCACGTCCACTTCATACGACACGGGACCGGGGCGGGCGACCACCGTGCCGCGGACCCACTTCTGACGACCGTCATACGAGCGGGCCCACACTGTAGCTCCCACGGCGAATTCCCTGCTCCGTCCGCCGGCCGTCTCACGCTGCCGGTCCCGAGCCGCCTGCAGAGCTGTCTCGGCGCTCGGGACCATGAGGTTCATACGAGTGCGGAGGTTCCGCCCGAACAGCATCTCAGCGGGAGTCCGTGCGGTCGCGGCGTGGGGCGTCACTCTGTACGCCATCAGAACTCGGGCGAGCGCCAGTTCCATGCCTCCGCTGTCGTCTGCTGCCAGAGTCGCCTTCAGTGAGTTTTTTAGCGAGCCGACCGCTCGCTCCGCCATCCCATTAGACGATGGGTGATGGGGCGCCACTCTGACATGTCGGATCCCGTTAGAGCTGGCGAACTGGGCGAATTCCTGGCTCGTGAACTGTGGGCCATTGTCCGTTACCAGCACCAGTGGTAGTCCGAGACGAGCAAAAACCGTCCTCATCACCGCTACGGTCCGCTCGGACGTGGTCGTCTTCATTGGGATCATTTCAGCCCACTTGGAGAAACTATCCACCATCACCAGGAACCAGGTGCCCTTCAGAGGTCCGGCAAAATCGGCATGCACCCGCTGCCACGGGCCGTCCGTCGGCTCCCACGGGTGCCGTGTCGCCTGCGGCGGCTCAGCTCGCTTTGAGACGCACGCCTGACACCCGCGAGCCAGCGCCTCCAGCTCAGCATCGAGTCCCGGCCACCACACAAAGCGCCTCGCCAGCTGCTTCATGCGAGTGCAGCCGAAGTGACCCTCATGCAGCTCCCGCTTGACGGTGTCGCGCAGGCTGCTCGGGATGACGACTCGGCCGCCCCAGAGCAGACAGTCGGCCTCAGTCGTCAGCTCCTCTCGGCGATTCTTGAAGGGAGCCAGGTCCGGGTCCACCACCGCCGGCCAGCCCGATCGCACCGCCGCCAGAGCGCGGGCGAGCGCCGGGTCTCGGCGCGTGGCCACTGCTATCTGCTGCGCGGTCAGACACGGCCCCTGCTCGGCGATGAACATTACGCCGCCTCCGCCGTACGCCGCCTCCTCTTCTGCCGACAGCCGGTTCTCCGCCTCGTCCGGCACCGACAGACGGGACATCGTGTCCGCCAGCCTCATGTCCTCCGTCCGGCGCAGCTCGATCTTGTACTGATACGCCGCGAGCTGCAGCGCATACCTTTGCATGCGAGCCGCCGCCAGAGATGGCAGCTCACGGTCCGGGTTTAGGATCCTGGAGAGCGTCCTGTTGTCGACCACCAGGGTGAACGGCCGACCAAACAGGAACTGGTGGAACCGCCGCACTCCGAACGAGACGGCTGCGGCTTCCCTCTCCACTTGGGCGTACTTCCTCTCCGTCGGAGTGAGCGTTCGGGAGGCGTACTGTACCGGCCTCTCGAGCCCCTCGGGCGTCACTTGCATCAGAGCCGCTCCGACTCCTGTCGCACTGGCGTCCGTGACGAGCCGCAGCGGCAGCACGGGGTCGTACCGCATCAGGACCGGCGCCGTGGACAGCATGTCCTTCACACGGCGCACTGCCGCGGCGCACTCCGCCGTCCATGCCCATTTGACGCCCGTCTTCAGTAGCGCGTAGAGCGGCGCTAGCACGGTAGACAGGTTGGGCAGCAGCCGCTGATAATAGCTGACTGACCCGATCAGAGATCGCAGCTCCTGCACGTTCCGAGGGTCAGGTGCTGCTGTGACGGCCGCCGTCTTCTCTTGCACCGGGCGCAGACCCGCCTCAGACAGTCGCCAACCGAGATACACCACTTCTCGGACTCCGAACTGGCACTTCTCTTTCTTGAGGCGGACGCCGTTGTCCTTCAGCCGCTCCAGCACCCGGTCCAGCCTGTCCATCAGCTCACGGTCACTGTCGGCGCCGATCAGCACGTCGTCCAGGTAACAGACGACTCCTGGAAGACCATCCAGCACCTGGTCCATGATCGCCTGGAACTGCGCTCCACAGGTGCTGATCCCGTACGGGAGACGGTTCATCCGCATCGCACCACGGTGTGTGGTCACGGTGGTCATC